GCGTCGTGTCTTCTATTTTTATTTAGTTTTGGACACCCAGGTGAATTAATAAAATTTACCTTTAATATACAAGCGTAAAGCAGGTCAAAGCTGCTTTGAACGTCAATTTCGTAATTGTTTAGCAGCAACAAAATTCCGCGTTCGGATCTTAGGACTCAACTGAAAAGCATACTTAATTTTCGATAGGTTATACTACACTAAAAATAGACCCTTTCACGGTTTCTGACGCCATCTTGGGGGGCCGCCACTAACTTATCGTAAGCATGCCTTTACTTGTGATTACAAATGGACTGTAAATTTATAATTTAAATGTAACATTTAAGAGATCTTACGAGAATTTGCATTTTTAATAAACTGTTCATGTAGCGAAAAAACAAGTGGTATAGCTGTGCACTTGATTTTTCAAAGACTGGATGGAGAAATAAATTTATGATTTTGTTGAAAGTCTTTGTCTTCAATAATGAAACTACATTTAAATTAACCAAAGATACAGTTTGCTTTTTAAAAAGACTCGAGAGAAATCAAAGAATTTAAATTAAAATGGTTAGCTAAATGCTCCCAGAAAGGTGATTGAGAAGAGACCTTAAAGTTGATTTTTTTGTTCTCTCTTTTCTCTAGCCAAAAAATAGCTGTTACTACCACAGCTGTGAGATGATAATACAATTTCTTCATGCCAAGTTACGGTGTGGTATTGAATTGAAATGAAACTACAGTATATGTGCTTGGATTCTGCGTTGGATTTGTGGCCGCCCGGTCTTTTTGCGCTGGGATTTTTCGCTTCTCGGATCGGGCGTTCGGAAATGGAGTGTTCAGCCTTGGGCTTTTCTTACGTACGTTGAAAACCTCGAAATGGACAACTCGCTAAAATGGGTTCTTTTCATCAAAGAAAGTGGTTAGATAACAAGTGATGCGCTGTGGAAGCAAGGTGAGGAATTTTTATTGAGAATTTGACATATTGTTTTATTCCTTAGAGCGGTCGTGAATATTCTCATACAAACTCTTATAATTCCGCCATGACTACTATTGTGCAAGATTATCATCTCACAGCTGGAGCTTGGGCCGCCTGTGCTACTACAACTAATTTATTCATCAACGGATGTTCTCTGCATGGAAGCCATCAGGTCATAATTTTGGCGGCTAGAAATTCTGATTCTGATTCATCGATGAGATGTTGCTCTATCTCTTCGCTCTATTTAGACTGGGATGAAAGTTAGATGGGCAAATTTCAGGCCTATATTGTCTTTATTCGTAAACAGTTACTAACCAAGAACACATTGTATGGTCTGCCTGTGCACAAGCAATAGACAATCTTATTTCGCAATCTGCCGACGCGATGGAGTCTCTCTTGAAGAATCTCGAAAAACATGTTACTTGCTCCATTTGTCTGGATACTTACACCAAACCTTAGACCATAGCTTGTCTTCATACATTCTGCTTGAAATGTTTAGAGGAACACGCTTTGAAAACCCAAAGACAAGGACAATTTCGATGTCCCGATTGTCAGGCACAAGTGAATATCCCAGAAGGAAATTGTTTCGATAATTTGCCGACTGGTTTTCTGCAAAACAGTTTGTTGAGTCTTCTCGCTGTACGACAAAGTAGCGATGGAAGTCAGATTAGTTGTGGTATCTGTAAGAAAAAGAGCGCCGAGATCAGCTATTGCTTCGCTTGCGAAAAATTACTGCTCTGATTGTGCTAATACACACGAATTGTTCCAAGAGAGTGCCTTTCAAGGACACAAAGTAACGGCAGTGAAACAGTTTCAAGCCGTAGACTACGAGGCCTTGTTAAAGCGTCGGTCCTTTTGCCCTCAGCCTTACCACGAGAGAGAGGTAACCAGGTTTTTTTGCCTTGAATGCCAGATTTGTGTTTGTCAAGTTTGCATAAACACTGATCACAAGAATCATAATGTTGATCCGCTTGAGAAAGCAGCGGATGCCGAGAAAGCAAACATTATGGCGGCAGTCGAGTCGATAGAACGAAAGAAGAAAGTCTGTAGCGATGCCATTAAAACTTTTCAAAAAGTTGTTGTTCAGCTGGAAAAAAATGTTACCGCTGCTAAACGAGAGGTTTCCCAAACAGCCAAACAAATGATCGCGAAGATTCGAGAACACGAGCGGGAAGCTACAAAAGTCCTCGAGAATACACGCGTGTCTAGAATAGAGAAAATAAACTCTCTTAACGAACAAGTTAAGTCATTGATGAAACAACTTGACCAAGCAGTTCAGTTTGCAAAAGACCTGGTTGAGAGAAGCTCCAGTTCGGATGTTATGAAAAGTAAGAAGAGTTTAGAGCAGCGATTTGGAGATCTCGACAAGGCCACAGTCCCTTCGCTTCCGGTTAGCTCATTCGTGAAGTTTTTCTCGACTAATGCACTTGACAACCTAAACCTGGGGTCAGTGATAACCAATAAAACAGATGTACGGTTGTCATCAATGGAAGCTCTTACTGAAAACCTCCAAGCTTGTGTGGAAGCAGAGCTTCTGATTTGTCCAAAGCGAAAGAGTGAAGGAGAACTTACAAGTAAATGCCAGCTTGAATTTGACGTTAAAGTACTCATAGAGCCCGCTGAAGATGTAGCAAATTTAAGAACTTTTAAAAACGAAAATGATGATATCCATGTGAAGTTTGTTCCTAAAGTACCTGGCACCTACAACATGACAGTCAAGATAAATGGTGACAAACTTGTTAGCAGTCCTTTCAGGGTCCACGTGAAGGAACGGCGGATTGATGTTGTGGGAGAGTTAGCTCTAAAAGAACAAATTCCCGAACGACCAAATTCGATTGCTGTCAACAGCAAAGGAACGATCGCTATAGGTGACTTTACAAAACACTGCATTCTAATGTTTGATAAGGATGGAAATTTTGTGCGAAAACTTGGCTGCTATGGAAAGTGGCCCGGGAAGCTGCTTTTTCCGCTTGGATTGACATTCCTAAATGATGACGAGCTTCTGGTGGCGGAAATGTTAGGTAGACAAATTAAACAATTCAATGTACAGACAGGGAACTTTGTGAAGAACTTCGGAAAGGGAGGGACTAGAGACGGCAAATTTACAGCAGCCAATGGAATTTCCATCAATGATGAAGGACACGTCTTTGTAGCGGAATATTGTATGAACAGAATCCAGGTTTTGGACAAAGATGGTAAATTCATGTTCAAATTCGGAGACAAGGACCCCGGAAAGCTTAACCAACCTACTGGATGCATTTATCACAAAAACAAGTTCATTGTATCTGACAAGGGAAGCCATTGTTTGAAAGTGTTTAACAAATCAGGGAAGTTCTTATACAAGATTGGAGGAAAAGGCGAAGCTGATGGACGATTTTCCTCTCCATGGGGTTTGTGTGTTCAGAAATATGGCGATCATCAGAGTCTTTTGGTGTGTGACAGAGATAATGGACGCATTCAACAGTTTACAATGGATGGTCGTTTTATTGGAAAAACTATTGTTAAGCTAAGAGATCCGAAAACAATAGCTACAACACCAGATGGTCGTATTTTAGTTTGTGACCGTGAAGACAAAAAAATTTTTATCTTGAAATAGACACTCATATGCTTTTTTGCAAAAAGGATTAATAATGTGGGAATGGTAACAAAGTTGGCACTTTTATCATTACACCGGCAAGAAAATAGTTTATATCTTTTTTTTCTTTGAATACTTATGATTTGCCTTGAGATCTTTGAGGTGCTTGGGATGTATGTATTAAAAAGCGGACTAACGTGAACTTCCACCTCCTCCCATAGCTCAATTTCCAGGAGTGCATGTATCAGTTGAGACCGCGATCCTCTCTACCGTGTGTGTCGAAACTCTCACTGGTGGATATCGATCTCCCTCGGTCCCAAGTTACTTTGTCAATATTTTACCTTGGAAAGAATATTTTATTTTTAGCTTGTCGTGTAACTTTGGTTGACAGTTTTCAATTTTGCAGGATAGGACTGAAAACAACTTTTACTCTGGAAATAATATTCTAGTTTTAGCTTGTCTGGTATCTTTATGAGTGACTTTTTTTCAATCTGTCGAGCTGAAGTAGAAAATACAAATTAGTTACTTTAAGATATGTATGCAACTCTATATAGAGATGCTGGCACTATAGATTTTCTTCTTTTTCGTCATTTTCATCATTGTAGCGTAATTTGAATTAAAAGTGGTTTCCTATAAAAAATTTTTTATATTTTTTTTCTTGTGGCTTCTGTGGGTATGTGCCACGAATACATGAATACACTTCAAATCATGAAACCTTGCGGGGGGAGGGAGGGGGAGAGAAAGGGATATAAGACAACTGGCTGATAAATGAAGAAAAATTTTGGAAGAGAACTGTAACGAGACCATCCGTCCTTTTTGATAATATTTGTATGTCAACGAATCTGGAAGGACGATTAAAAAATAACTTTGTAGAAGATCAAAAGAGGTGCTATTGTCTCTTGTAAAGGTGGATTTGTTCGTCGTGAGTATTCTTAAAGAACCTTTGATCATTTGTGCCACGGTATGGAGTAACTATCAATTTCAGAGTAAATTATCACTAATAGAAGGATTATCTTAGACCAAAATATATTCAAACCCCAAGCAGCTTTCGTAGTAGGTGGCCTGTCATCAAATTCCCGGAATCCATCCCCATAGATATCGATAATTTGACCACTCTGATACATTCATTGCTACCAAATGGATGCAGATAGCCTTTTAAATTCCCATATAGCTTACTTTATTGTAATTCGCCTCTTTCTAAACGCCGGGCCAGTCATTTGATAAACTGCAATCAAGAAAGAGAGAGGTTTGACGGTACAATGGTTTAAAGGAATTTTTGCTCACAGAGTTCACTGTTATTTGGAAAAATAAGTGATAAGTTAGAGGTGTGCATTTTGTGCATAAATACGGTGTTTTGAAGGGCAATTCAGCTGTTAAAGCGAAGGCCTTCGTTTTCCCGCGCGTTTTGTATTAATCCCATCATGCACTGCGCTACACCAGATGCGCCTGACTACTATTTGGCGAGGAGTTGTAAAATGTCTGTCGAAGTGTCGTGGACGATGCTTAGTTTGAAAAATCACTGTTATTCGCGGCGCCTTTGCGGCGCCTTTCTAGCTTGGTATCAACAGCTGTCTATAAACGTCTTGCAAGCAACGTTTTTCACTCGTGTAAAGCACATATCTATGGCCTACTTCGTGCAGATTGATCCTGCTATGAACAAATGTATTTTGGTTTCCATGAGAGACACAACTTCCAAGGAAAAATGTGAGCTCAGTTGTTTACCGATGACAGCGTTTGATGGGTCATTTATTCAAGGACTGCGTAGAAAGGTGTATCCGGTCGGTTGTAGAGTTATAAAATGCTCATTTGTCATGTTCGCTCACATAAACGTCCAGTCCTCCTTTAGATGAATTATTATTATTATTCAGACTGTGGTTTTGCCGCTCTGTGAGGAAATTTTACCGGACTACAGCGTGAATATCCTTCTTAGAAAAGCAACGAGCCTGAGCGACCAAACATCCTCGATGCTAAATCGTTGATTAGCTGTCGCATTCACCTTCATTTGGGAATCTCACTCTTGACGTGTAGGTTGTTTACATGGTGAGTGCTTCACACTATATTTTACCTTAAAATTTTTGAGGAATAATTTGCCTATGATAGCTTTTGCTTGGATAACTTAAATTTAAAACGGGATACTTTCTAAAACACGCGTTACATAATTTTGTTCAAGGATCAATCTAAGGTGTTGTGTGGCTCTTTTACCAAGATCTTTATATATTGTTATACCTTTTATATTTTGGCGTGACTTTCACGGTAGCATTTTCAGTCGGCAGTTTTCCTTCCTAATTCTGATTAAGGGTGATGTAATAGATCAGGGTTCTCAATAGGATTTGTAGTAGGTATGTACACAACTTTATGCAAGCATCTTTGCCAAATGAACATGAAACAATGGTTGGGACAAGTAGACCATACAGTAAGGTATTATGAATCCCAATCTAAGAAGCGATCAATTACCAGATACCTTTTAAAGTTCCTGTAGAAACTGCAATTATATTATTCCTAACTATAATAATAAACATCAAGTTCTCTTCCACTGATCCTACTTATTGTTAATCACAGTTTTACTTTCATGTTTGGTTCAAAATATTGGTCTGAAGAATCATTGTAGTGCCTTTTTATGCCAAAACTTATCAAAAACAAAAGACATGAGACTAACAGGAGATACCATGTGGGATGATTTTGCCTGATGGTATTAAAGCCACCCTCACTTTATTAGAGTTAATATCTTCCTAAAATTTGTCATTTTATTGAATCATCATGCTATTTTGAATAAATCTGGGGAAGGCAAGTCATCTGATGAGAACTCAAAATAACTTGAGCACTTAAAGATGGTGGTTCAATAACAACAGAGTGATTTTAATTCCTGAAAACAAGGCTAATATGTCACAAGTTTCAACATTATTAATATTGACCAATATTGTCACAGCTATGATATTACATAGAGGTTCCAAAGATTAGACCAAAAATTAAGGTAGAGGTTTTTCTGGGTGATTTCCTTTTTTCTGATACACCTGTGTTAGACTGGTAAAATGTTATCTTTCACTTTGTTTGAATTTGGACAAATGACAAAATATTTAATGTAGTGTTTAAAATGAATATGTACTCAGTAACATTGGTGTTCTTGTAATTAGAATGAGAGAGATGGTTAGTTTTGAGCTTGGCAAAGAAATGGAAAAAGATGTTTGTTTGTCTTGTTGTGAGTGTAGGACAAAGAAAAATTCTGAGCATTTCGATGCTGTACCACCAAGCCACAGAGGTTCTATGGAGAGCAAGGGCTGTTACAAATTTCATATACAAAATGTGACACTAACAAAATTGATGATCCTAACAGTATGCATGAGGCGTGTCATACATGAAACTCATAAGGGGCCTTGTTCACAATAGAGCCTCTGTGGCTCAGTAGTAGAGCATCAGAGGGTGGAATCCAAAGGTCTGAGGTTTGATTCCTTGTGGGACTCAGAATTCTTCCTTTGTCCCATGCTTGTGACAAGATGGTTGTATGCTTGTTTCTAAATTTCTTTTCCTTTTTTTTGTATGAATTCAAATGTAATTTGCACAAACAACTTTAGTTTTTTTTGTCATTGAAGCCATTGTTAATAAATGGGATTTCATCAAAAGTGTTTTGTCTGTTAAGGAAAATTATTTTCAGTTTGGTTTCCCTAGTTCGTCTTACAGTTTTATCTGTAGATTACCCATTTTTATGTGGGGTCATTAATCTTTTGGTTGTTCTTTTTTCTGTTAGTGAAAGCTGACACTGCATTGTAGGATTCTGAAATATTTTACTCATTGAACCACAACTGAACAAGCATCACAAGAGAGATTTGATCATGACATCTGTCAGTGACTCTACAACTCGCAGATCCAAGAAGAAACTACCTAACATCCCTCCTGAGGAATTAGCACTGCATGGAAATGGAGGATCATTGGAAGGTGGTGGTAAACCTCATGATTTGCCACCTGAAGTGCAGGCACAATTTATCAGACATGTACACAAAAGATCGCGTTCATTGACAGGGCTGGATACGATTGAGTTTGAAAAAAAGTTGCAAGCTGAAGCTGAAAAGGAAAATGTGGAACCAAAACCTTTACTTGAGCAAAGTTTAGCAGCACCAAAACAGGAGCAGTTGATTGGAAACCAAGATGAGAGGACAACATTTGTACATTCTTTGCCATCAACGCCAGGTATGATTGCAAAATGATGAGGTTATTTTTTTTTTCGTTGGGATTATAAGGAAGGCTACTTTATGAGTAAAGAACAAACTTTAAACTGACTATTGTGGAAGTGACTTTGAGTTTTGTTACAATGTGAATTCAGTCCATCAAAACCCAGGTCTTTTATCTGCCTCCTGAGAGTTACTGTTGGTGTATACTTGTAAATGGAGAGAGACAAAGTGACCAGGAGACTTGCCCAAGAATAATGTCCACACCTTGTCAGGTGAAAACACCATGTTTCAATGCTGAATTCAGCACATAAACTACCTGGCGTGGTGGGTGTCAATATAAGATGTCCGTCTACAATACTGTCTTTGTAGAGAGCTTTCATTTTCATTTTGATGAAAATTTGCATTTCACCTTTTCCAACTTTTATTTTTCAGTTTTTAATCGAAAATCTAGTGCAAGTTCAGTGAAATCAGCAGATGACAGGGGGGAACTTGTAAAAGAGCTTAGATGGCACTACAAACAGTATGTGAAGACAGCAAGACGGAACAAAGAGAGGCTTGCCAATGTAAGTGTGGTTTTAAAAAAGCTGGAGGGGAATTTGATTTTTCTTCACAAATTGAACTAGATTCATGCTCTCAGATTTGTCACTAGAAAATGTAACAACAGTTTGATCTGAAAAGAGAAAGCTGCTGAATTGAATCATGCTTAAGGTTCATAAGAAATTGCAAGGCAGGGAAAAAGTAGATTCAAAGATTTAGATTTAAGCTGTTAAAATGGAACTTCCAGTAAGTGGTAATCACCAGAAAACCTTTTTCATGTATGCACAGGCATACACAAAAAAGTTTGTTAGTTCATTCCTAACACCAGGTGGTTATGGATGTTTCCTAGAGCTCTGGTTATAGATTACATTTAATTTGCAAATTAGTTTTAATAGCTCCAACTGGTATGAGCAAACAAAAGATAAACATCATTTTTTATATATAATGTTGCAACCATGGTGGGTTCTGCTGGCAGTGGAAGCTGTAATACAAGTCTTACTTATTTAAAATTGTTTTCATGAGATCACAAAATTTGAACTGTTTGTTTTTATATTGCACCAAGGTAGCCAATGTTAGGGATGATAACAGCAGTATCCTGGGTTTAGAAGGAATATCTCTAAGTGAGGTAACACTTCTTTAAACTGCCCAAATTTGATCAACTTGTCTGAAAAACTTGACTTTAATTGGAAGAAAGCCTTAAGTCATCTTTGGGATTTAAAACAATCAATAAACTATTTTGTGTTGTTTATGTATGCACCATTCTTTTGGATGCAGAAGTTGTGATTTATATTTTCCTTTGTTTTAAGATTTTTATCCAGTTTAAGTTGTGCAAGTTTTTCTTTGTCATAGAGTACATTTATAGAGTTGAGACCAAGAAAAATTGAACTAGCGTGACATAAAGAAACTTTTGATCATGAGGTTGACCTACTAGGAAATGTTAGTTTTAAACATGAATCAGAACTTGTTCAATAGACTTTTTGACATCTTTTTGCATTTTATTTAGTATTCCTACTAGGTAGATGATAATTTAAACAATAATGTTTATACTTCTTGTTTTAATTTGGTGATATTGCTTGTTTTGCAGGGTAGCCATCAAAATGCCAGTACCACCAACAGCTCTGTAATTCAGACAAACAGGTGTGACCAACCAAAATGTGGCAGACCTGTAGACATTCTTGAACGTGTGGCAGTGGAAAATCATGTGTTTCACAAAAGCTGCTTTGTTTGTGCAATATGCAACTCATGGCTAAACTACTTTAACTACTGCTTTGTTCCTGACCATGACAAGTTCTACTGCATTCAACACTATCAGGATATTGAGAATGCCAGTTTTGGATTAGGAGAAGATATCCGTCATGCAATGGGTATAGGACCAGGAGTACAACAGCAGTTTAAATTTACACCAGGTGTGTTAAGTACATATTTTATAATGCCTCCCAGCATTTCTGACAAATCACAATCAATTATCTGTTTGAAGATAATCTGCCATATCACAAGTAGATTGGTAGGAAATTAAATGAGAACAGCACTAAATACTTTAAACAAGAATTTACTTTCCATGCATAAAGGTCAAACTAACAACTTCATTTAAATTGTTTGCTTGGGGTCAGATGCTATAGATGGTAGCAAGGACACCAAAGGAGTGGACAAGGTGCAGAATTCAATCAGAATCATGAAAGAAAAAATATCACTACTTAGCAAAAGAGGAAAGAAGCTGATAAAGAAAGAGAGGAAACTGAAGGCTAACCTTGGCGAGTTTAAAGGTGATGAACAAATATACATGTTCATTTTCACTTGAATTTTTGTTGAACTCAGTTATAAACTGAGAGGGAGAATAAGAGATAACTTGATCATGTCAATAGTTGATATCTTTGAGTCTTTGTGATACATGTAAAAAAGTATCTGTAGTAAATTGGTTAGTCTGCTTGATTGATCAAAATTCCATGTTTTTAAATTTGTATTCAATTTTCGAGACACTATATGGTTCATAGGAATATTGCATAGGGTTGTTTATTGCTCCTCAGTGGTTACATACTTGTACCTTTTCCTGGCATGGTCCTTCAAAAGTTGGATAACATATCCTGTGGTAAGGTGGCTTTGTAGGGAACAAGTATAATTATGAGAGAGTGTAGTTAATAGCACTATCAATCCTTTTGAGCAACTGTGACCAGGGATGGTGTATTGGTTGGAGTGCCCCTTAAAAGAAAAGAAGCATATATTCTATCTGATATAATTATATATTAATGAATAGCCTCCATTTAAAGGAGAGCACAAAAAACCCTTAAGGTACTTGTGATGTGATGAATTATAATAATTTTTTTGTTAAGGTTCCGATTCTGAGAAACAAACACTATGGGTTGAATGGTTTAGTGCTGTACAGGATAAAAACAGTACAGTCAGGAGGGAAGCAGAGCTCTCATTCAAGTGAGTATTGAAAAATACTTTTTTGCTTGGACTCACCCTGATTACATTTATTGCTTTAAAATATATCTCATGCTTTTAACCCTGAAACTCTCAGAAGTGACTATGATGTAACTTCTCCCTAAAATATCCACACATTATCTAGCAAACATGTAATGAGAATACTCAAATTTATCAGGTACAAGTTGTTATCTTGATCTTACACCATATTTTGGCAACTAATTTACAAGAAAATGTGTAGTAGTAAGAGGGGAGAATTAACAATCAGATCTTTGGAGTTGACGGGTGAAATAAACATTTATATATTATTTACCACAATTTTAAAGATTTGTGCCCTCTCATTATCTAGGGTCAGAGAGCTGGAGCTGGCAGAAAAGTACTCTCGATTGGAGAAAAAGCTGAGAGAATTAACAGAAAAAGATGGTGAGAGGTTGTTGAAATTTGTGATGAGATGCTGTTATTGTAATTTTTATTGTCATGATTAGTGTTATTGTCTATTATTGATAAATGTAATTGTTGTTGATGTCCTTTACAACAAAAGCAAAGATTGTCATTTCTGATATCTTAACTGTTATTTTTGTAAATGATTAATTTAGAAAATATAAAGACAGAGTATGACAAGTCTAAAGAAAATGAATTACTACAAGAGATGCTTGAGGTGGTTGAGAAAAGAGAACAACTGATATCTGAAGTAGAGAATGCCAAGAAGAGGTAAAGTGCTAGAGTGCTAACAACATTAAAATCAATGTCAGTAATAATATTGTCTTGTAAATTTTGTTATAAGTATGTTTTAAAGGTAGGAGGCACCATGTTAAGTTGTATTTTTCCAGGAAATATAGCTTGATCAACAACAGTTAACCCTTTAACACCCATTAGTGACCAAAACAGAATTTCTCTTTACAACGTCAATACAATATCAAGCAGACAGGTGATGAGAACAAAGAAAAACAATCAATGAGATCGTTAGTTGATCCAATACCAAATTCTCTTGAACAACATTACATGAATTTTATGGCAGACAGTAAGGAGAATTAATAATGAGATCTTGGGAGTGAAAGGGTTAAGTAAAATTTATTTGATCTCTTGGCAGGTACGCTGAAGAAGACAATGAAATAGAGAAAGAAAGAAGAGATGCAGGTCAGTATGGTTATGAAGTGTATTCTTTTTTGAAGATAAAATTTAGACTAAATTTTATCAAAGTTAAAGGCAAATACATTAATGAGGTACATGTACAGTAGCTCTTTGTCCACTTCTTGTTTGTCAAATCCATATTTGCGGGATTGCTTTTTTTTTGGGAGTGAAAAGATCAGATGACCTGGAGAAAAACCTTTCAAGCAAGGACAAGAAGCAACAACAATTCAGTTGTTATGTGATGCCAGGATTAGGAATGGAACCCAAGCCACAGTGGTGAAGGAAATTGTTCTCACCACTATGCCATCCCTATCTGGTTAATTTGAGAGAGATTTAGGAATGAGGATGATTTTCACCATGAGGAAAATGATCCACAAAATTGTCCTTTATCACCTTAACGCTCGAGATGTGATTGTTAATTCTCCCCCCTCAGCTGTTACACATTTCCTTGAAGATAAGTTATGAGAATTGAGCATTAGATCAAGATAACAACTTCTACCTGATATGTTTAAGTATTCTCCCTACCTGTTTGCTGGATAAAATATGGGTATTACAGGGAGAAGTTGCATGTTAATCACTTCTGAGAGTTAAAGGGTGGATAGGTGTAGAAATGCAATAGTTAATTAATTACAATAGGCCTGTTTAGTTAGAATTTCAAACACATCTTTTCATATTCAGGACTGAATGATCCTGATGTTGTAAGGGAGGTGACTGCTGTTGGAAAGGATGCCCAGAAAGTATCAGAAGCTGTCAAAAAAGCACCAAGTGCCGTCAAAAAACAATCAGAGTTTATGTGCCCTGGATCTTGCACTCTGCTTTGATACTGAAGTGGAGTAAAGAAATTAGAACTTTAAACTTTTGTCAATTAGTACTATGTTAAAAGAGTTAAAAACTTCTGTGATAGTTTTAAATTACAAAGTAAATGTAATTCCTGGAAGTTTTATTTGAAAGTATTATCTTGCATAGCATTATGAAGTCATGGTCAAATTATTAAAATTGCTGTCATACAGAATTGAAAAAAAATTAGCTCTCAGCAATTAGTACCTGTAACTTATTAGTGGCAACAACACATCTCTGTCAGGCAGTCAAGTCCAAAGGATCTCTCTAACCATCATGTAAAATCAAGGTATAAATAATCATGTAATCTATTGATATGAACACTAGCCTCTCTTGGTTACCAGTTACCCCTCAAAGAATTACATTTTCTTTCCATTCTTACTGAAGGCTTTCTTTACTCAGTATGGTATTACTTATGACTGTCAAATGAAACTTCTGTTGTTGGTTATATGTGCATTAGGCATCATGATACAAAGTCTTTCATCATGTGGTGTTGCCTGGTTAAGCCAGAGCAAATCATGTTGTGGTTGTAACTCAAGGTGATTCACATGATGGCTGTAAGCAAAGAATCCTCAGGCGCTAACCCCAAAGACACTCTCCAGAATTTTGTAATTAATAGTTTGTTACTTGATGACAAACAAAATAACAGACAAATAACCAATTAAGTATAGGACTGTTGTAGTGCATCTGTATGTTATTTTGGTTAAGTAACATACAGATGCACCATGGCCATTGCCATGGTATGAGTGAAAATAAATAATGGAAGTGTTGTAATCTTTATGTATTAACTGAAAACTTAATTTTTATGGTTTGTTTATCTGAGGAATTAAAAAACAGCTGGCTTGACTTTATGTGTCCATGTGGAAAGGGTACTGTGGTACTGAAAGAAAGAAATTCAGATACTCTTTTCCAATCTTAAGCTTACAGGAGATGACAGATAATACATATCTTTTCAACATTTTAATTTCTGGCTGATGCTTGAATGCCATTTCAAATACAAAATTAAATATTTATCCTTTTATAATTACAAACTGTACTGATGATGTACAAAATTGTTAATTCTAAATCTTCTATTTACAAACTCTCAATGGAGGTGTGATCTCTCTCAGCCAAATAAAGGCAAAGATGGATGTGCGATTACAACTAATTTTTCTTTACAAAACTTGGGAACAGGGATTGTTGTTTAGTAGCTAAACTCCAAGATTTTGTCTCTTTTAGAGCAATAATTACCTATAAGGCCATTACTGATGTTTTCTTTATGCTACACATAAGAGTTTTTATAATGACAATCAAAATTACTTTGATGATGGACACATAGTTATGAGAAGTTTTCACTGTTCATAAATTTGTAAAAATTGTGTGGAGATAAAATTTATGTCCACATGTCATCTTGACATTCAATGATGATTTTGATCAAAAAATGAAGACTTCTAAGTTACAAATCATCATCAACATTGTGACCTTACAATTGTTGTGGCCAGCCAGAAGCTTTTATTAAAAGGGGGTTTTTCTCTAACCGTTATTCAAGATGGTTACCAAAGTGATGGTACTAAACCGAGTTCAAGTCAAAAAATTTAAATACTGTATATATATATATACATATAGATGAAAAAGAACTTCTTCTAGTGACTTAGATGCCTTTTAGAGACTGGCAGATTCCTCTAGGCAGTGGAAGATAATCTATTTGGTCTTTACCAACAAGCTTTGTTATGGTCATTCTGCACTGATCCTGCAGTGAGACATATCTACATGTACTGTCACACAGTTCTATCTCGGAGAGTGTTGATGTAGATGAAATAATTGGGTAGAGCTCTGATGCTTTGTTACACAAGCCTGTGAAAGCAAGTCCTAAAGACCTTCCATTTTTGAAGTAAGAAAGAGTTCCTGCATCCATATCAAGAAGAACACCAATCACAGTTGAGTCATAAAATGGCTCACAGTAACTTCTATACTGACCATTGTGCCAAACCTTGCCTTTATATGATAACCCCCAACTCTGATCATCCCTTCCAATCAAATCTACAAACTCAAAGTCTGCTGTTTGAAGCAAGGCCTCTTTTGTGCCAACACCAATCATCATTGATGTGCCAAACACAGAACTCAGCTTTACCTCCCAATAATGCTGCCCATGTGAGAAGGCCTTGGTGCCACGGACACCTGCTGTTCCCGTGCTCTCAATGACTGGGTCAATGTAAAAACAGGCCACCTTATTGTTTAGGCAGAGGTATACCGAAGGGGATTTATCCTCACTACTCCACACCCACTGCTCATGGAAGGTATCTGACCAAGGATGGAAGGATTCTGAATCTTCAATTGGTTGACTAGATAATTTTCCTGTAAAAAGAACAAAAGTTTTGAAAAATTTATGACTTGCATAAATAGTATTTATGACTGGGACTACCCACAAGTTATGCACAATTCAGTTAGTTGCACATTTCATCATGAGATAAGAACTAACTGAGGCTAAAATCACCCTGGGGAACCTCAGAAACTTGTGACAAATGTTCACTGTCTTCTTGTAAATGACTAGGTAATCCTTGTGAGGATCCACCCCCATTTGACAGTGGAATAAGTTGTCACTTTTTCCTGGGATTGCACAATGATTTGGATTGTCCTGCATTGATTTCGTGGGAATGTTTGTAACCTCTACCAACAAAGAGCCTTGAAAAAACTATGGTCGAAATGTACTCGTACATCAATTGTGTGTGAAAATAAAGGGTCAAAAAATCGAAAAACAAGCAATTTGAGACATGATTGAGTTGATCATCAGTGTGCTTCATCTCCTCTTTTAAGGAACAAATCCCAGCTGATGGTTTTTAATGATTCAACATATTACCGCTTTGGGATGTTATCAGTGATTTTGTTCGCACAGGCAGCAAATAACAAAAATGTTGTGTTTCGTGGTGAAAGAAAAAATCAAACCTTTCAACCTGATTGCGATTTAAAATTGTGCAGAGCGTAAAAGATAAATAGAGCAATTTTTGCAAATAAATACAAAAAGCTTGCTTCAAACGCTTACTTCAGCATACAAGAAATCGCACAATGCTTCGGTAAGCAAATTGTGAGGAGTTTAAATTTAAAATATTACTAATGTCTTGAGTTCCTTTTTTTGTCACACCGATCACAAATTACTCTCGTTTTCAGAGAAATCTACCAATTTCGACGCCAACGTTAACCACTGAATGTATATGGCTATTGTATGTATATAGAAGTTTTCAATTGGAAAGAAATGTCGAAGTACCTTTCAGTTTCGGAAGGTTACCGACCAAATCTACTACGATTGCTGTTTCGCAGATGTAAACACAACACAAAAATGCGTATAAAGTTAGTTCAATTCTGAGAATTATCTAGAAAAATTCTGCCTCTGGCACTTTTTCACTTATTAGTAATAAGTACTGATAGAGTTAAATCCCTTACCCATTTTGTGGTAATTCCACGAAAACTTTCACAAGATCTCGTAGTAATTTGCAAACTCAGGTGTTGTTTTCAACGTACGTGACTGCTCAGTGGTAATCCAACAAGTTTCGGGACCGTTCCTGAGACTGACGAGTATTAGGGCAAACTTTCTAAGAAAGTTTTTCTGCTTATTTTTCCCTACAGAGGTACAATTAAATTTTCAAGACACGCTTAGACGGTCAATACAGAGTCAACTTACAACTTGTACGCGTTGTGCCGCGGGTCTTCCTTCTGTACATAAACAACTTTCAAACCCAGTGAACAACCTGAAATGTTCTCGTGACCTCCAGTGAACGCTTGTGATTGGCTATGTCAAACCCGGCAAAACCGGAATGGCTTGATTCTGAGTAACAAGGAGAAAAAATAAACAAAACGGACGTGACAATTCGTTTGCCTGGGATGGACAGGAGTAGAAATCTCTTTTTCGTAAAATCGTGAGCCCTTAATAGATTTATTTACAGCTTTAGATTTTTCTGCAGATTAATACCATCGAACTATCTCAAAAGATACGTGATAAAGTTTATGTCCCAGTTGCTTTCTGCGGTCAGCCTCGCAGCCAGGAGCAGCTCTCTTCTTCTATGTATTTTGGGATGTCACGCAAAGTTCGAAAAAAAAACCCGAAAGCACCTGTGAAAGGATCTTGTTCTTCTGCATTCATTGCTCTTACAAAACTCTCCAACTCTTTTGACATTTTTCTGCAATGGATCATTAAAAATTTGCGGAAAACGAGTTTCTCGCCTTATATAGCTAGTGACGTCATAGCGGTTCCTTGATATTAGAAAGCGTGCAGAACAGAACGAATGCAGAAAGAAACATAATCCCATCTCTCAAACCAACAACAACAAAAAATAAATGATTTCCGATGGGGAAAAAAAAATCAGATGTTTCGTGATTAGAAACCTATCCGTTTCGGAAATACGTTTGTTTCCCTCACAAGGGGAAGCTTCGGAACTAATTTTTTCGCGAGTGAAAATCACCGGCAGATTAGATTAGTACTAAGTTACTCCAGTGAGAAGAGCATGTCTAGTGAGCAGTCCTCTCATAGCTATCTTGTTGTGTTCCACCAGATTCCCGTTGTCTTGAAATACCTCTGGAATATCATCGTGCGACTCTTATCGTGTGAGCTTGCATCACCTAGTGACGTAACAGAAGTAAACAAATACACTCCTTTTTTTCGCGTCCATCGTCCCTTATCTCCGTGAATTTGGACAATAAATTTTGGTTGCATTCGATCTAAAAATTTATCAAAATCGATTCTTCAAAAATTAGTTGTAAGGATATGCAACGTAAAAAACGTAAACACTTCAGTATTTGAAAACAAGTAATAATTTCGTGATTTTAGATTAGAAGAGAGACGTGCTTACGTGAGCCCGCGAAGAAGATTTTCGCACAGCAGGTTACGCCTTAAAGAAATATTGTTTATCAACGACAACAAACAGAATTCGATGAACCTTATCTGAACAGGTTATTGGTGAATAATTACGCGAAGAGAAGTCGTTAGAGTGAGAGTATTTATACCCTAGTTAATTGAGAGTTATTTGTGAATTATGGCATTGGTTCACACAAGTTTTTACGCCAATCCTTTGGAGACTTCCAGGCTTTCACAGCGCGAACTTCTCGCGCGCATTTTCGGCCGTCAGGAAGCCAGCGAACATGTCCGCGGTATGGATTTCGAAGAAAACTCCAGCGATTCTGGCTCTGATCATGAAATGGAGGAATTTAATGAAGGTAAAGTCTTTCTATGTATTCTTTCTTAAGCATACCGTACTCCACATGGGAAAAAAGAGGGCGTTTTGTGTCTAAAAGCTGTGGAAGGTTTTTGTACTGAGTATGTAAACAACGAATTTGTTCGCCATTTGAGGAATAGCTGACGAGCGCTTTTTCATCATAGTATATTTTTCTTTCATAGCAGAAGCAATTTTGAAAGTTTTATTTTCACAAGCATGTACTTTCGTGTTTTCAAAACGTGTTTTTTTGTTTCTTTTCATGCTTGAAGGGAATAACAAGAAGTGAACTTTGTACGCCTTGATGCAAAATGTAAATTTCTCTCAGCTACACACCAAAACAGCTGTCGCCATCGCAGTTGAATAAATTGATTTATGGTGTGAAAACTTATCTCTGAAGTTGTCTTGTATGTTCATATACGGATGATTATGCTCAAAAAGCGAAATGATTCCTTTCGTTCGTTAAAGATCGATTGCCTCGTGAAATAAGGTCAGATCTGTACTAGTTGTACAGAGCAGAGCTTGTTGGCCTTGAACATTGTTGACATTTTTCTTCGCATCTCCCAAAACAAGTACGCTTTTTGAATTATTTGAAAGATGTCTAAATTAGTTTTTCTGTTTTTCGGCATCAGCATGACAGTCACACACGGTCTTTTCTTTGCATGCTGTAATTCACGTGAAGCACTGAATTCTTTGACGTAAGTTTCATTTTCCAGTTGTAAAAGACAAAAGTGAAGTGCCAGAATTTCATTTTCTGCTGTGGCAGCACTTTCACTGGCCTCTGATCAAGAGCGCTCTTATAATTATTTTAATTATTTAAAAAAGAGTCAAACTTAAATCCTTTGTTTTCTACACCCCTCTGACATAACATCACTTCGCACAGTGATTGCGATTTTCCATGGCTTGTTTCTTTAAGGCTTAATGTAACTTCATTTCCGAGAGAAATTTTGAAACATTTACACCTTTGTGTAAGAAGTGAGCTGTTTTATTTAAACGGTCTTTGGGAATTAATTTAGTAATATCCTTACTGTGTGCCATAAAATTTTTATGATGTTAGTTTGGAGAATTTGTTTTTTATCTCATCACTTGCGTGAAAAATCCATCTACAAAAAAAGAGGCTAGAGTTCAAACTCCGTAGAAAATATGTTTTAAACCTGTTAAATAAACCACAACATTTATCTAAAATAAGAACTCTGAAACTTCTTAAATTTCCAAGCAAAGGGGTAACAAATTTATGCAAACGAAAACTGAAAAACTACTGACTAAAACTCCACAAAAATAAACTAAAATTATATGAAAAATGTCTACGCTAGTTTTCCAATGTCGAGGTTAGAGTTCTTTGACATGATTGGCTCATTTGTGAAATGTTGCGCGTTGTGCATGAATACAAAAAGAATACAGAAGGGGAGAGGAAGAGAAAAATTGTAACTTGAAATTTGAAAATGAAAGAGATTTTCTACAACTTGCATGTCTTGTATTATATCATTACCGTAAAGAGAAATTATGACTCGGTCATCCATGGGAGTTTATGGGTTAATTAAAGATCCCACAACTTTTGCCATGTCTTTAACTGTTTATACAAACAACCAACTTAAATTTTTGACAGCATAAAACTTGTCTAGAAGACTGTTAACCCTTTAGCTCCCAGATCAAATTTGTAACTCTCCTTACTGTCAATCATATAGTTCTTATAATTTTAGTTCAGAGAATTTAGTATTGGACCGACTAATTATCTCCAGATTGATATTTTTCTTTATTCATATCACTTATCTGGTTAATATTGTATTGATATTGTAAGGAGAAATTCTGTCTTGGTCACTCATGGGAGTTAAAGGGTTAAAGGAAAGGTGAGATTTCTCTTATAGTACAAAACCAGCTCACAGCTTAAGGGTAACCATTAAAATATTAGTATGGTTTTACGATAACCACCCCCCCTTCCTTCAGTAAAAAGTTTTATTGAGTTTACTGCATGATTTCCCCTGAGGTCCTGGAGGTAATCTCCAATCATGGGGATGATTATTTTGCCATTTGGGAACAGTGTGATTCATATTCCTGTGTCTACATGATGAATTAACAACAGAAAAACTTTCAGTCTAGTCGATATCTATTACATTTCAGCTGCAGGATGAGAGCTGGTACAGCTAAAAGCACTTGTTGGTCGTTCCACTAATGGTTGCCTTCCTTCACCATGTCAAGACGCAATGTCTTGATGAAAAAGGAAGTGTTTTTGAGGTCTTAAGGTAAAGTGAAATTCCCATACTGACTTCAGTGTAATGTCAGTGTCGTGATTGTGAATATTGGTGGCTGTGTTGTGAATGTTGGTGGCATGGTTGTGGTTTTTGTTGTGGTTTTTGTTATCACTGTCTCTGTGAGTGATGTTTCCAAAAGCATGATTTTGTTTTTGCAATGCTTGTTAAGTTTTAATTAGAACTTTATTATTATTCGTTTCATGTGGAAAAAGCTGTTTATTGGTTTTTTAAGGTTATGAGTTGTCAGTGATTTATTCAAATATTTGGCTACAAGATATTGCTATGAAGTACTACTGAAAATCATAAAAGGGAGTCAAGAACATTAAAACAATCATGCTATATGATGTTCAGATAATATCATTATCAAGTACAGATGTTAGAATGTTTAATTACTTGAGAAAACTTAACTTAGTTGAAAAAAAATGAAAGTTTTAAAAATGGTCTTTTGAAGTTGCATATGGATGGTAGTTAAATCTGTGTGTTTACACGTGTTTCAATACTTTCATTCATTTTGATTAAGTGTTATTTTTACTCAGTATTTTTGCACTAGAGTCAGTTCTTTGTTTTTACTTGATGACATCAAGTCTGCTGAATGTTAAACAATGTTTTTTTTTTAATGTTATGTAACTCTCTTGATATGACATTGAGTAATCATGGTTCATTGCAAACTGTCTTTAATTTGGTTGCAATGTATTGCAAAGAGTACCTCAGTGATTGCTGTACTGTGTTGTGTCAATTTCATGGTTTTCAGTTGTATTGTGGTAAATGTGAGTATTGCAGCCTGTCTGAAGATGCAAGAAAATAATCGTATGATAATATAATTGTAAAATGTGGTTGACTTCCTTCCCCAGTTGAGACTTCATATTAGTCTTGATAAAAAAGGAAGATAGAGCTTACACTTAATATAGATTTAATCTGACTTTGATATCATAGTTGTGTTATCATGTCCTATTTAAAACTTTTTTTCCATTTGTTGTTGGTTTTGTGATGTGTATCTTAAGGAAGTGATAGAGATGTTATCATTGACTATGATATGTGAAGTATTTAAAAATCTAGATACATCCATTGATGATATTCCAAGCAATGACCCTAATATTGGATTTAACTATTATTATAATGATATATCTCAGTCTCTAACATAAAACATAACATATAACTTGCATTTAATTCATACTTAAATGGTTGTTTTCTTAAAGTGTAACAAGATTGCAATCTTAGTCAAATATTTTTTATCTTTAATGTCTTTTTGCACATTGCTTATCAGATTTTGAGTGGGAATGGGATCCAACGACACTATCATCTTCAGTGTCCCTCACTCGAGGTAATAAGGAGGTGCTGTTCCACCCTGATTACAGCTGTGGAACTGCAGCAGCAAAAGGCTCCCAGCCCCTTTGTCAGGGGGGAGAATTCTACTGGGAAATCAAGATGACCAGTGCAGTCTATGGTACTGACATGGTAGGTCATGTTCTCCTCTGTTGTGGACTGACATAATGGAGACAGAGCTAAAACGTGACAACGTGTTAATGGGGAGGTTGAAGACTTGACACACTCTACTGGTGCAAAATATCTTTGCACCATTTTCATACCAGTTCTTCTAAACGAGGAAACAACAAATTGACTGGACAAGACTGTGCAGAAACTTACAAACTGCATGTTTAAAAAAACATGGAATGTTTGGTTAGAGTTCCACTTCAGATACCATCAAATGGATAAACTTAAAAATGTTGTGTCACCGTTGAATTGCACAGTGCAACCACTGAACAGAGTGACTTACTAACACAACAGACCAAGTCAGTGCGTACATACATGACATACAATACAATGACTTACATGGAGTGAAACAAATACAGCTATTAAACAGTGGAATGACTGCAAATACAGACCAACAATACAAGATCACCAATGACTGATGATTTTTTGTATCCTTTTGACCATAGTATATTTTAAAGGTTGCAAAATGGTATTTTTTCTTATTACAATATGTTATTTATGCAATCCATGCATTTTGACATGCATTTTCTGTTTGTAAGTCATGGTATTATGTACCACTAGTGGTGAATTGAATGAAAAATGAGAGTATTAGTGACAAGAAAATTTGGTAACTTAAAAAAATTTAAATTTCAAATAATGAAAGCAAATCATCCACTTGATGATCACATTTTTTTGGTCAGATCATCATATTGCTTGAAATCTGAGCACCACCTATGTTCACCAAAAACTACTTTTCTGAAGGCTGTAGATTGTTGCCACAGTTTATGTGACTCTGAAGGACCTGCTAGATGTAAATTGAACAAGCAAAATGGAAATTTGCTTTGACTAGACCTTTTACTTGAAAAATACCTTGAAAAAAATTTTTATTTTAACATAGTTTCAAAGAGTATTGGGTTTTAAAATATTGATTTTTGAAATTGATTATTTAAGGGGTTGCATTTGTAAGTATTTTTGCTCTGTGTGAAAGAGTTAAATCTCCAAACTTTGGCAGGAAGAAAAGAATAGGATTTTTTTGTACGTCTAAGTAACAACATGATGCTAAATGACAATGCAGTGATCTTTGTCCTTCTTCATTCTTTTGTGTTACTGATTGCTGAAGAGTAAGTACGCTAGATGTGGCACTTATTGTAAGACTCATCAAGTTATGTGTATTTTCAACTCTCAGATGCTAGGAGTGTGCAACAGTGACCTGGATATTACTCAATACAAAACCTCATTCTGCAGTCTTATTGGCAAGGACAGTAATAGCTGGGGGCTTTCTTACACTGGTAATTTTTATCATCAAGGGAAAGCCCAGAAATTCTCCTCAAGATTTGATCATGGCTCAGTTATTGGAGTTCATTTGGATACATGGCATGGGAAGCTTTCTTTCTTTAAAGACAATGAGCCACTGGGTGTGGCAGCTAATGGACTTAATGGGAAACCACTTTATCCTGTGGTGTCTTCAACTGCAGCAAGAACAAAAATGAGGTTGCAACGTAGTTCATCGTCATCCTTTTCTCTGCAGTATCTTTGTTGTGCAGCGATTGGCAAACATCTACCAAATCTTGAAGCTCTTAAGGCTTTACCCATACCACCTGGGGTGAAACGACATCTTTGTAATGAACTTGATTGGATCTTCAAGGTCCACCTTCCCTCACAAGTGAAGAAAACCAGTGACACTGATTTGTGATATCTGTGTTTTGGAAACATTTTAATTTGTATCAAGGATGAAATTTCATCATAAAATGGAAATGGTGTCTTTACTTCAAACTTTAGTCACGCTGGGAAAAATGAAGTAGAACTGCAGAGCCATTGAAGGAAGTAATTTACTAAATATATTTTCGTATGATCAGAATATTGTCAATACTGAATGTGTATGTGTTGTTGTGCATCAGGATTTTCTAAAGAGGTTTAGTTAATTAGTGTGAAATTATCTAACTGAATCTCACTCAAAAAAGCCACTGTATAGGATCTTTGTGTTATTACTGATAGTATTCTTTAGTCTACTTAGCTGGAAGCTACCTATCTTGTCAGGATGATTTGAAATACATATCCCAGGAAACTTCAAATGCACTATCACTACTAGAGATAAGGTTTAAATTTATGGCTGAGTGATTGCCAAAACTGAATATGTCTTGGGTGGTTACCTTGATCTCCAAAGTGTACATTGAATTTTTCACGTTTAAGTTATGTACGAAAAGTTTGAACAACAAGAAAATAGGGGCGTGGACAAAGTTAGATATTTGTAGAGTTGTATTTATTATACTCTTTTTTTTGTACCTATGCTTGGAAATATGTCACAGAGTATTGTAATTTATTTTAAAATAGACGAAAGATAGGAGAGATAATTAATGACAAGATGAAATTAATTGAAAGCTTGATGATTTTGTTTCAAATAGAGTTAAACAATGTGTATCTGGTTTGCATCCTTTGAGGAAAAAACTTCTTTTTTTTCTTGTTGATCTGTCTTTTTTTGGTGACCTTTTTTTTTTACTGTGCACCAAAAAAAACATAAAATACTTTGTTGAGTTTTTTAAATATATGAAGCCTTACCTTATGAACAATAAATCTAGAAAACAACAACAGATCTGGCTTGCCATATGTATAACTTGTTGTAACTAGAGAGAGATTAAAAAAGTAGATAAAACTGAAATACATGTATATAGCTGCTCTTTGTCTGAGTTTAGACTACCACAATGGGCTCTCCTGCCTTTTACCAGACATTTTTTTCAAAAATTGGCGATTTCTTGGGTTTTTCACTTCTTACCATGACATAGTAATACCCAAGGCTTTATTGTGAACGTGACAAACCAAACATTTTTTTAAGTTTCGTGATTAACATTTTCCTCACAACGCTTCATTTGAGGATAAATTACACACTAATCATTTTAAATTAAATTGGGACTTTGACTTCAGCTGTGCCTGTCAAGACCCATAACACAGAGAGAATCACTGTATGTGTTCCACACTGATCTGAAATTCAACTTGTACCTGTTGACAGGGACACCCAAAGGTGAGGGGACCTCGTCCTTGGGCGTTAACTCTGTGAAGGCCTGGGTTCTAGTCGGCTACGTCTAAGAATGTAAACAAGATGGCGTAGGTTGCTAGTCGGAAGTTCTTCAAATAGACTGCAAATTCACTCATCTGCAGTGGTTAGAGAAACATTTTAACTTTGAAAAGCGTGATACTTAAAGAGGAGAGCAAAATGTCCACCCTTCCAATGCAAGACAGGAGTAATTCAGAGAAGAACATGAACGGTAAGACAGCGACGGTGGGGGGATGTGAGCTGTAGCTTAGGGCCGGGCTGAGTCTATTTAAAGCAGTTGTGCTGTTAGCTTTCATCTTCTTTCAGCACTGCATATTCGACTTAGCTTTCCAAGTTAACTATCTTGAGTCGGTAACGATAAAGTGTCGGAAGAAAATTTGAGTGAACATGGTTCCTTATATCAAGATGTTGATAAATGTAACGCTTTTTCATGCCATGTACCATTAAGCGAACAGTACTTCAGTCAGAAATCAGTTGAGTATCAATAAAGTTTGATGTGGTTTGTAGTCTATAAGTATTGGGGTAACGTTTAAGTCCGTCTACCTCATGCCTTCATTACTCTGGGCGGTGCGTACTTTCTTCTCGGTTCTTTCATTTTTTTTTTCGTTTTCTTCGATGTTCTAAATCTTTAATGAACAGATTCTTCTTTTCAAAATTTTTGCTTCTTGTAAATAAATATTTGCATTTACTTAAGGTACTTAATTTATTTTTTTTCGTGAGACATGTTTATGTAGACGTGAACCTGATAATGCTACTGGTTAATTGTTATTTTTAAAGAACCGTAAATTATGATCTCTCGCTTCATGTCTGTATGAGATACCGCATATTTTATTTGTGTTAAAGTTGAATAGCTTGGGGTAGAAACTGTGATTTGGTTACTTCAAGAGTTTTGCAAAAGAGCATCTGTAGCTGTTGGTAAAACAAGCTGATTGATGCTTCTTAAACGCAGCAGGAAGCTGTGATGTTAAGGGTTTGGAATGTGAATGATTTTACTGTAACTTCAAATTCATTTTCTTGCAGGAAGTGTGGGAGGGGTGATCAATTAAAAAGAGACCAAAAATGAAAAAAAGGACTTTTGGAAATGGATTGAAGTTGCTTTGAGCATTTCATTAACCTTTTTTTACCTTCTGTCTACTCTGTATTTTTTTTTGTGTTTTATTGGCTTTGATGTGGATATTAATATTATTAATATATATCATTTTTTTATTGTTGTTACTGAATTGGGGGACAGATAGAGAAAAAGACATTATGAGCCAGTTCTGTTCCATATCAATTCAAAAATTTATGTTTACAATAAAAAAGCTGTCTGCTTAATTTCTCTATTTATATGAAGAAATTTTGTATTAGGTTAGAGTAACAAAGTGAGGTTAGTGCTTCTGTATGAAGCTTAATAAAAGTTCATTTTGATTCTTAAGCAGTGGTAAATATATTGAGTAACCTTACATTTAATTGGTACATAATAAAAAAAATACAGTACCTGGTGCCTGAAATGTTGTATGTTTTATTGTACCATTTGGCCAAATTTTCATTTTCTAATTTTGAAATTATTTTTCATGGCTTTCCTGTATTAATGTAGATGCTTGTTTCATTTGATTTTAGGTTTAACACCCAAGGAGATAGCTCTCCTCTCTGGCATAAGAAAAAGAAAATCAGAGTTGTTGATTGAAATTCAGGTACAATACAGATGAGACGCCTTTTTACATTATGCTGAGTACCTGATATTAATTTTATTAAGTACAAACTTTACTTGTGTGACAGTCAAGATTAAAGTGTCCTTCAACAGGTATAAAAATATCAGAGTGGAAAACAATTAAGACTGAGGATACTGAAGGATAAAAAAAATCTAGATAGCTTAAACTCATGAATAATGAAAAATAACTTTTTAGGGTGAAAAAATGAGTTGTATCCATTTCCTCTTTTACCATTTATCTCTTGTTTCTTTCATCATAAAAAAATTTTTTTGTAGATCAAATGACTTCTTATTTATTTTTGGAGCCAGATTTAATTTAAATGTCCATTTAATTTAGTCTTCTGTTTATGATACAAATATTTTTACACTGTCAATTTCAAAGCTGAGCTTTGACCCAGTCAGTGCTATATTAAATAAAATGTCTTAAATTACATAATTACATGTCACGTCATCTAAAGATTTTTAGCACAGATATTTGCAGAAAAAGTCTCTCCTCACACAATTATTTTGCTAAAATTTTTATTGATCTGAGGTTTTTGTGTATTTGAAATACTGTTTACCCACAAATGAAGGGGTACTCATCAAACCATCAGTTCACAAGTTGGTTGACATTACAGTATTTATACTGCAAAATATTCTTATTGCTCAATTTGCTATTTTTGCCTTGAACTTGGTTGTAGTAATTGAGATTTTACAGCTGTTTAGCTTTGATAGGATTGCATAAGTAGTGTACATGTATAACTGATCTAACAATATTTTGATCAAATTATCTTTATTAGAGAGTTGAGAAGATTCTTGTACCTTGAGTTAGACATTGACCTTGATTTCACTTTGTAACTTACAAGATGTTAATGTCAAGAATATTCTTGTTTTTAAAGTTTCTTTTTCTGATTTTAGCGACTGAAAGATGAAATAGCTGAAGTTTCATCAGAAATGGATACTATTGAACAACGCGACAATAGGTAATTGAAAATAAAATATTTCAATGTGTTTTGAGCAGATGGTTTCTGTAAAGGTTGTACAGCAATAAATGACTTAAATATATACATGTTAACATTGTACAGCTTGTGAGATGAACAATTTGATGTCACTTACTATAATTTAATATAGATATCATAGGTTTATGGACACGAGTTGGGATTATGATACACCTCAATTATAATGCTAATGAAGTGAAAGCTTTCTGCATAGAGAAGCCACCTTCTTCAAGCAGCTATTTCAACTAAAAAAAAAAACCAATTCTAATTTCCTTGGGAAAGGACTACTGGCTTTGACCTATGTAGGTTAACGCAACTTTTGTTAGCAATTCTTATATTTTCTGCTCTGGGAGCTTATCACCAAATCAAACAATATTTTGCAGTTGGGATATTCTTCTTTCTTCTTATTGCTTTATTCCTTGAGAATGTCTTAACATTGTAAGCAGAATTCATTTTTGGTCTCTCATGGAAGTGATGAGGTGAAAGAGGTGAACCAACTGCAACAAAGGTATCATCCCCTTTGATAAAAAGGCTTTGTTTCATCCTTGCGTAATCTTGTGCAGGCTGACAAACTTTATAGCAATCATTCAATTATAATTTAGACTCTGCAGGACATGATCTTCTCATTTTATTATTAATTTCTGTTATAAACAGTACTAAGGATGATCCTCGAGCCAAACAATTATTAACTGGAAAGAAAAAGTTTAACATTGATCCAGAGAAGGTATGTACTATGGCAAGCACTCCATGTTATTTTTGCTGGCAAGACAAGAACTGTTCACTCTAGTTGCATCATTTTAGCACCATTGTGACTTTTTTTTGATCAGCTGTTGATAAAAATGACATCAACTGAGAAGATAATGGGACCTTTATTTCCAACTCTTCCTATTACTTTTCTATGGAGAGAGGAATCAAACTGTTTTTTCTTTTATACAAATACTTGCAGGGAATAGAATATCTGGTAACCAACACTCTGCTCAATAGCACACCCGAAGACATTGCTTACTTCCTTTTCAATGAAGAAGGACTTAATAAAACAATGATTGGAAACTATCTTGGAGAAAAGTAAGTTATTTACTCAGACACATAGTTAGAGTTTGCCTAAGAGATTATTCAAATGTAAAGACAGAGTTGATGCCAAAGGCATTTGGCCCCGTACTTCTAGAACAGCAAAGTCTTGCATAACAGTAATTATGAAAGATACTGTTTAATAGCATCCATGCCACTTGGTAGTATACAACCAGAATTTGGGATGCATGGATGTAAGACATGTTAAACTTTAATTTTTCCTTAAAGGTTATTGTTGGCAATAATTGCTAAATAATTCTTTTATTAACCCTTTAACCCCTAACAGTGACCAGTTTCTAATTTCTCCTTACACTATCACTCCTGAATCAAACAATAAGGTCACGAGAATTAAGGAAGTGATCACCAACCTGTAAAGCTCTTGATTTTTAGACAAATTCTCTTTGTCAGGGCTTCAGGAAATGTATAGAGGCAGTATGGAGAATATGCATACTGATGTTAGGGTGTAAAGGGTTAATTTCTCTCATTCATCAACCCTTCTCCTCCAATAACATATCTGAGATCTCCATGATAGTAGTGTGTATTATTTAGACATGGTGTGATCATTTTCAAAACTTCCCCTGTCAGCAAAATAGTGCTTACTTTGATTATTGAATCAATATCATTACACAGCAAAGAGTTTAACCTAGAAGTATTCAGAATCTTTGTTGAGCTTCATAATTTTGAACGAAGATTGTTGGTAGACGCCCTGAGGTGAGTCAGCTTGACAACTACAGTGTTTTACTTACTTCTGCTCAGAAATTTGAGGTGATCAGGAGCATAGTTTGCATAGCAGATGGTTTTGAGGGTGATTGACAAAAGTGAAGGCAGCAGAGCCATGTTAATGGATGGCAGAACTTAAAAAAGAAACACACCTTGATTCAGAAAATAGAAACCTAGCAACCAATCTGTCTCAGCAGACTCATCAAATGTGTCAAATGCAAAACATCACTGTCAGTGAGAGCTTCTGTTTTGTTTTGAGGCCTTCAGTGGTCTCACAAAAATATCAAGCTGTAGTCTTTTGAAATGGATTTTATGCCATAAAGTTTGGTATAACTGTAGTAACCATATATGCACAGAAGTACAACTGAGACAAATGTGTAACTCACACAATTAGGGTCTACAAAATTGTTGGCAATGCTTTGTGTTGGCTACTCATTTAATACAATATCTTCTGTTAACATCTTCATCATCAACCAGTGGTTGTTTTTATCCCTGTAGAGAGTTCCTGTGGAGCTTCCGTCTACCTGGTGAAGCCCAGAAGATTGACAGAATGATGGAAGCATTTGCTAAGAGATATTGTGATCAGAACCCAGAAATGTTTACATCAACTGGTGAGTTGAATACAAAAGATAAGCTAAGTTATAATCATTGCATCTAAAAAAAAACATTTGGTTTCAATCTACAGATACTTGTTATGTTTTGAGCTTCTCAATCATCTTATTGAACACCAGTCTTCACAACCCAAGTGTCAAGGATAAGGTTAGTGTAATAAAAACAATTCATTCAATTCAATTCAATTCTAGCAAGTGCTCAAGTTTTTACTCCAGAGTTTAGGGTCCTATACATTAGGCCACACCATTTCCAGAAAAGTATTATTGTTATTATTATTATCTATATTCTGACAACTATGAAGAAACAGTGTGATTAAAATTGTGCAGGTAATATCATTAATCAGCTTATTATGTTTTGTAGCCTACGTTGGAGAAATTTATTCAAATGAACAGAGGAATCAACTGTGGAGAAGATATACCTTCGGACACCCTAGCGGTTGGTGAATTATTTTAAATCCAGTAGAGATTTACATGTAAGAAATGCTAGTCTGTTCTCTCAGTACTTTTTATTGGAAAATTGCTAACATGTTGTTTAGATCAAAATAAAATCTCCACTTCTTGAATAAACTTGAAGAGCAGACAGACAAGAAATTATATTCTCGGGGTACATGTCTGTGTATTTCTGTCCCTGTTGGAAGGGTCCATAGATTCTGGTCACTTAAATTTTGCCTTCAAACCTAATGTTTTTAGATTGAAGTGTGCTTTGAGTTCTGTCGAGTACATCAGTGAGAGTGTTTACATAGGACAAGACAACTGTCATGCCCAAGTGGTTCTCATTTGAGAAAAAGTTATTCAAATAATCAATAGTGTATATTGGAAAATTACCACTCTGTGATTAGCCTTGAAAGGGTGGGGGGGGGGAGAAGGGGAGTTGTTTTGTACTAGGTACTAAATGTATTTAGCTGCACGTGTATAGTTACATTTGTTACTTTCTTTTGCTATAATTCTAGAGTTTATATGAGAGCATAAAAAATGAACAGTTCAAGATCCCAGAAGATGATGGAAATGATATAACAAGAACATTTTTCAATCCTGATAGGGAAGGCTGGCTTATAAAGGAAGGTAATGGCTTTTGTGTTTTTATGATTTTTTTTTTCTTTACTTAACCACAAAATTTGCAAAATCTCACAAACATATTTTCATATTTGTCAAGGTGGATTGCACAAAAGTTGGAGGAAACGGTACTTCATCCTTAAAGATAATTGCCTCTATTATTTCAAGAATATAGGGGTAAGTTTTCTGTCTACCTCCCAAAACATTACTTTGGTGTACAATAACCCTTTCAATTAACTATCAGAAATGATTGATAATTGTGTAAATGCTTCTTGCAATATTGGTACATTATGCAGCAAACATGTGGATAGAAAAGACAAAGTCACCAACTAGGTGTTACCTTGATAAAACACCAAGTTCTCCTTACTTATTCAAAAGAAAATACATGTTAGGTGGAAAGGAGAAGCAACAAGTGCACTCCAGTACTTTGCTATTTTTCAGTGATTAGGGCATTCAAGTATTAAGATTGGGTCCTGTTTTGTTAGTGAATTGGAAGTTATCATTTTCCAGTGGTGTTGTTAAGGCTTGGAAAAATTGCAATGTTTTTTATAGGACAGGGAACCACGTGGCATTATTCCTTTGGAAAATTTACAAGTTAGAGAAGTGCAAGATGCACGGAGAAAGGTAACTTTTAATAATAATGTAAGCTTGTAGAAATTAGTAGTAAGGCTTGTTTTAGTTGTATATTGATACAGAATTGACCTAAGAGGACTTGCTCTACATAGGATTTTTTTGTTTTTCTTTCAGTATTGCTTCGAAATATATTCAGCTGATAATTCCTCAGGGCTTATAAAAGCTTGTAAAACAGACTCCGAAGGAAAAGTTGTAGAAGGTCAGAAGGTTTCTATTAATGAAAAAAAATTGACTCCAATTGTAGTGTGCATTGACTGAGACAACTAGGACGATGTACTGCAAAAATAATAATATTGATAACTAATATTGTTCTTAATAATTACTACTATTATGATAATTACTATTAATACAGGAATTTAAAATTCTGATTCCTGCTGAAGTCCCCTTTCAGTCCTGGTAGACCTCATGTTTTGTGTACCTGATATGTACTACACTTGTAACTCATTGCTAAAATACTGCAGGACATCATGATGTATATCGTATCTGTGCATTCTCTGAGGAAGAAAGGGAAATCTGGATTGGTTGTATCAAGTGAGTTAAACATGTTTTGTTCATAGCTTTTATGAACTTTAACACCTTGATAACTAAAACTGAAGGAAAATGAAAAAAGTTTGAGATATAGGGGAGTTGATGTAAGTTGACAGGAAGTGAGCAAAAATTTTGTATCAGGGAAACATCTTTTAATTTCAATGTGGTGGAAATGTGAGAAAACTTGTTCTCTCTAATTTTGAGTTGGGTAAACTCTAGGTATCAGTGATCCTAATCTTAATCAATCAGAATTGTTTCCTTAAATATGATATTTACAGGAATATTTATAACTCCACTGATGTGCCAATGATGTTTGAGAAAAATTAAGGATAGATGAATGGTTTCCATTAGGAGTTACATTTATCGCCTCTCTTTCCTTCTCAGGGATATTTTCCGACTGTTAATATGTTTCCTTCCAAAGTTAACCCAAGCACTTTAAATCCAGGATTGTTTTTTTTTTTTTTTTTCCCCTCCCCCACACACACCCCCCCCCCCCCCTTACCCTGAGGAGATATTACAAGACTGAGTATATTCAACTGCATTTGATCACAGATGATGAATTATTTTTTTCCTTTTTTTTTTTCTCAGGGCTAGTATGATCATTGATCCATTCTATGACATGCTTCAAGCCAGGAAAAAGAAAGTCACTCAAGCAGCATTGAACTAAGGGTTCTTTTTGATAATTATATTGATTATCTTGATTCCTTGTCAGCTGTATATCTTCTGTGAAATGTGTCTTGAAGTGTACATACAGTTCAACATTATTGTGCCTAACTGCCCAAATGTATTGACCTTGACTTATTGATGCCTTCTAATAATGATTTAGGTTTATATTTCACTTTTCACTAGTTAAATGGTATAGTTCAAGAAAATTCTTACAATTTATAACGTAACTTATATTTGATGCCATCCAATTCATCATATTGGCTTTTTTGATATGACTTTTTTTAAGTTTCCTCTTTTGCTTGTGGTCAAACATTTCTTATAAAAAGCAGTCTTAGCTGGATACACCCAGATTGTTATTGCTTTTTGGTTTGTTTTTTTTATATATACACAAAACTCTGTTTATTTTGGAAGTTTAAGTTATGACTTTTTGTACTTTTGTATTTAAGAAACAAATGTTTGCCATATTTTTTGGAAGCTCTGGCATGTAAGTGGATTATAATGCAATAGAAATCCAGCTTTTTTATTATTTGCAGAGCAAATAATAAAAAAAATATGATTCAGTCATAATACATGATTCAGTCAACAATTTCCCCATTACCAGAGATTCCCATACATTTTTTTAATCATCTCATAAAGGGAAACATGTTATTCACTCATTGCATGTGGTCTATTGTTTTATTACCTTGGTTCTTACCCTTTTCTGGATGAATTACATGTTGATCCCTTTATTTGTCAGAAATTGTTGTCCTAAGAGCAATCACTCAGGAACACACTGGAACTTTTACTGCTGACTCTTAAAAGCAATAGTATGGGTGTTGATTGTTGGAAAAAAAAGGTGACTGTGTAAAATTTGGTCACAAGTATGACTGATTGATTGACAAACAGGTACAACTAGTAAATATATATGGATGGAGAGTTTAATTTACATAGAGTAGTTAGTTTAATAGACTTGCAAAATATGTGCAAAATAGTATTTCCCAAATAGGGAGGGAAAATAATCGGATACAGTCCCACAAATAGAGTTTTATTGCAAGGAAAAGCTTCCTGTCAGAATCTGTAGTTTCAATATTGATAGGGTCATTCCCAAAATGATGGGAGCTTCTGGTTCAAAATGAGGATTAGGGAAAGATCTTTGATATGAAACTGCAAATGAAACTCATTATATTTAATAGCTCTTTCCTTAGCTTATGTTAGCAGGAAAAGTTTTTGAAACTTGAAATGTTCAATGGTTTTTTTTGTGTGTGTGTGTTTCCAGAGAATGGAGCTACTTAGGTTGTTGATTGGTTATCAATTTCAACTTTCATAGAGAAAGTTACCCAGCATTCCAACACTTTTTTGTTGGATTTGCCCTTTGGTTCAGTAACATATCTTGACAATCAGAGTAGACTATTTGCTCATTGCAGTACCTTTGAAGGGCATGTTTCACAATTTCTAGCCTTTACCTTTAGCATTGGTTCTCATAGGCAGCCTTCCACTGAACTGGCAAGCTTCTCTCCTATATTTGGGACATTACTTATTCTTCAGATTTATAAATAAGACTATTAGGCAGGAATCTTAGAGAAATAGAGTGTACTGAATAGTATACTACACGAAACAAAAAATGTGGTTTACGTATTTCACCAACTTAGTGAATATGTATTCAAAAGGCACCGTGAAAGGTTTTGTTTTGTTTAGTGAAAGATGCCCTCAAAGAATTTTTTGCTCAATTCTTTACATTTTTTATGCTGAGAAATAAAAATTGACAGACAATGTTTTTCTTGTTGTTTCTTAGACAATAACACTTGTCAAATAAGACAATACTCCTTTAGTTTTAACACCAACAATCATTTGACATTCCTTACTCAATTAGAAACACTGTTTGTAAACACTCATTTTCAAACTTTGATGTTGATGCCATTGGAATCTAAAGGGGACATGTCCTTGCCGTTTTTCCCAAGGGAATAGCACCCACACTTTTTTGTGTGTGAAACCCAGCCGAGTAAAAGGAAGCTTCTAGGTGCAAGGACTACCATTTTAGGAGCCCAAAAGATTTCTTTCCATAAAGAAAGGTATGGATAAGCTGGGATGTGGTGATGGCTTCTCTAGAGGCAGGGTATCAATAAAAAAAAAAAAGGAGCGGACACAAAATGAACAAGATAAAACGTCTTTACTGAAACGATCATAAACCAGCAATGTACATGGTGAGATATCAAAGATTTAAACTTTCAGGGTTCTGAGTGTGAGTTTATTAAACATTGCAAATAGTAACTAGTAATTCCTTTAAGAAACAAAGGTAAATAATATCACCAACTGGATAAGGCATCTTGATGTTCATTTTGAAATATTTCCTGTAATAGCCGAAGTTTGAAATTTTTGGGAAGGATAAATAATGTTGAGAATCAACAAGGGTGGTAACGTTTAGAAGCACTTGCGGTGCACAATGGCTGGACCAGATTCATCGTACTCCTGTTTGGAGATCCACATCTGTTGGAAAGTTGATAAGGAAGCCAGGATGGAGCCTCCAATCCAAACAGAGTACTTGCGCTCAGGGGGGGCAATGATCTTGATCTTCATGGTGGAGGGCGCCAAGGCTGTGATTTCCTTCTGCATTCGGTCAGCAATACCAGGGTACATGGTTGTACCACCAGAGAGGACAGTGTTGGCATAGAGGTCTTTACGGATGTCAACGTCACACTTCATGATTGAGTTGTAGGTTGTCTCGTGGATACCAGAAGCTTCCATGCCAAGGAAAGATGGTTGGAACAATGCTTCGGGGCACCTGAACCTCTCATTTCCTATGGTTATGACTTGACCATCGGGAAGCTCGTAGCTCTTCTCAAGACTGGAGCTTGAAGCAGCAGTTTGCAGCTCCTGGTCAAAGTCCAATGCCACGTAGCACAGCTTTTCTTTGATGTCACGGACAATTTCACGCTCAGCAGTGGTCGTAAAGGAGTAACCACGTTCTGTTAGAATCTTCATGAGGTAATCTGTCAGATCTCTCCCAGCTAAGTCCAGACGTAGGATTGCATGGGGCAGGGCATAGCCCTCGTAAATAGGCACGGTGTGGCTCACACCATCACCACTGTCCAGAACAATACCAGTGGTACGACCAGAGGCATACAGAGACAACACGGCCTGGATAGCTACATACATAGCTGGACAGTTGAATGTTTCAAACATGATCTGAAAAAATACGAATGAGATGAGTTTTAAACCTCTAAAATTGAGTTGTCTACTATATTCATACCGCCATTTTTTCGTCTTAACATTTAAGTGAAAGTGAAGTTTCCTAAGCTTGAACTATGAGGAAAGCAATTTCATCTCCGAACATCTTGTTGCTTTTCGTTACAACATTTTAAGTGGGCACGCCGAAAAATAACCTAAATCTAAAATGTTCCTTAGCCGTTCCATGTTAGATGAAAAGTAATATTTGAAACGGAAGTTTTATGTTAGACACTGAGCCATTTCAATCTTTTCAAAATGCTTAATGCGCAAAACCAAAGACATTAAAAAGAAAACACCCACATTAAGCCCTCTGATAAATTTTCTTGAATTTACCTGCGTCATTTTTTCTCGGTTTGCCTTCGGATTCAAAGGGGCCTCTGTAAGGAGAACAGGGTGTTCCTCAGGGGCAACTCGGAGTTCATTGTAAAATGTGTGATGCCAGATCTGTAACGAAAAAAAACACGTGAGGTAAACGCCTCGTGTTTGAACTTCCAGAGATTCAAGTGACGCGCTTCGATATGTGGGCAGATCTTCTTAGTTTCAAAATTTACCTTCTCCATGTCGTCCCAGTTCGTGACTATTCCATGTTCAATAGGATATTTCAGTGTCAAAATTCCTCGCTTGCTTTGCGCCTCATCGCCGACGTACGAGTCTTTCTGGCCCATACCAACCATCACTCCTTGGTGGCGAGGACGACCAACAATCGACGGAAAGACAGCTCTAGGTGCATCGTCCCCGGCAAAGCCAGCTTTGCACATACCAGAGCCATTGTCTACAACCAACGCAGCAATATCATCATCAGCCATTTTAAGGTTTTCTCTTTCACTAGCAGCCTAAAAAGTAAGGATTTCTTTCGATCTACTCTTTTAATTGGCCCAATGAACATACGTAACAGAGAGCAAATGGGGGTACTAAGAGGGAGGTCAGATTAATTAGGTCAGTTTATTACCTTATATGGTAATTTCCTTGACTTAATATGGTAATAAATTCAACAGATAATTTTGATTGATAACTGTTCATAACAATTTCAATGGCTTCCATTTGGAGAACGAACTGGCTTAATCTCGTACCCAGACCCTCCACGGTAGCTATGATAGGATCTAAGTACGCGATTAGGACTGGGTTCATTTGGCATTTGCACCTAGCGGCAAAACGTATAGGCATGCGTCAACTTCGGGCATTTACAGTTGTGTGCGCTCTTTATGTGTTGTTCGGTTGTTCAGATTAATCAGTTAAATCTTCATACAGAAAATACTTTCGGCCGGCTTATTTGCGGCTGCTTTTGTTGGCTTTCCCACACTTTTCTGCGAAGGAACCGCACGACCGAACCAACGCAACAAAAACAACTACGTGGAAAAAATTGCTCTTGTCGAGCACGAACGCGCCCGAAATTCTTTCATATTTTGTTGTCGGTGCAAACACCAAACCCCTTGGTGCAAGCGCTTGAAACTCAAATGAAAAAACAAACTTTTCCCCTACTTTCTTATGCTAACTCTTCCTTTTTGTTTTCAAACTTCGCGGTGCGGGATTTTATCTTGTTTACATTGGATTTTAATACTTAACCGGAAATGCGTAATTGACCGATGCTCAAATATGCACTCATGTGCAGTGCGTTTTACAGCGTGTTCCCAGAATTATGCATCAAACTGAAACTTCATTTCACAAACTAGAGTTCGGTAAAGTAAAATTGAGCATTTGCTCAAACCTGTTCGCTTTTCATTTTTTTTTTTTATCTGAGTGATAAAATCGTGTTTATTGCTTCTTTTAAATATTGCAGTTTATTCACTGTCTTTGCCACTCATATTTTGGTTCTCCAAGATCTGTTGATTACGGGTAGCATCAAAAAAACCTTACTGAAACCCTATTTGTTGAGTTCGCTCCCTTTTGTAATTTGAGACACTCGCGAATGCTACGGTTACGACCCGTTTAAAGAGGGTGTGGGGTGGGTGGTGGTCATCGCTGGATGGGACCGACCCCATTCCTTATCAACAAAAAAAAAGACATAATTCAAGGGGTTTATTTATATATACAAATCTTTATTTACGACATATATTACTTAAAATACATAAACTACTTTACAACACATCACCCACAATAAATCACTTTCGATAATTACTTGAAACACTGCCCTAATACTAGTAAGATGCAAGAGTCCCTTCTCCTGGAAGACTTCTTTAGTATAAAACCCTCTGTCGAAATATTTTGGTCCCCACATTTTATTTCGGTCAGCCTGAGCCGGATGAGGATTAGGATATATTTCCTGTGTACTTTGTTACTACACTAACTGGTTTCGATTTACATCCAATGCCCTGAAAGCTGTTATCGATTATTATGACGCTTTAACCAACTTCTAAGTATTTACTCATATGCCGAGCCTGTCCGTTTATCTGCGGTCACCCGTCCCCTTCCTGATTTCTTAGCGGGGAGGAGCGGATAGTCATAGGCGTGCAACATTTTTAATGTGCTTTACGTTCAGAAAGAAAAAAAAAAAGCATTTTTCATACGTTACTCATACAGGGATAGTCATAAGAACCTCGGAAATATGAAAAAATAAGACTCTGGATAGAATTCGACTCCCAAACAAAAGCCGGAAATAATTGTATGAAAAAGATGTAGGATAAAGAAAATTTAATTTATTTTTGGTCTAAAATACTATCATATTTAATGGCTGTGATAAATGGTAGAAGATCGCTTTTTTTGTTTGATTTTATTCATTTCGCAATTGATATGAGCTCAATGTTAGAGGTCAATGTAAATCCAGTTTATTTTGACAAGCTGTCAACACGCTCGTTAAAACATTAATTGCTTGTTTTTGTAATGTGCCGAGAAAGCATTAACATAACTTACGTGAAGCCATACACTCCCCCACAAGGAGTAACGAACGGAAGGGAACTGTGCTTTGAAATTTTCCCAAGTAGTGACTCGTAGTCATTATAGGAAACAATTTCGATGAAAAGTCATCGAGGTTACACGAGATTTCGTTTAGTTATTAATTTTTTTCTTCAGCTTTAAATGGTTTGCGGCGCGGGATACAACCCACTGTTCAGTGTTCGGCAACCCGCTTAGTTGAAAGATCTTGGATTGGAATTGCTGTATTACTTACCGATTATTAGTTTCTTTTCTTTTTTCCGATTTACTCGAATTTTTAAGCTAAAAGTTGACGAGAAAATAGCCTTGAAATGCAAGATCGAAACTGGCTCGTATGATGATCAAGTGCAAAATTAACACGTTTCCGCATGAGGAAATTTTTTCACCTTTTTCCGACTTGCGTCACCCTGTCATGTTCCGACTGATCCTGGAATAGTTTCAAATTTTTACCAAATTTGGTCACAACATGCTACTTTACTGTTGTGTGACACTCCTATATATAGCGGTACCATAACATTTGTACGTCCTATTACCTCCGACATCATTCAGTGTTCGTGGTTGATATCTCAGTGTCTCGATCGATAAACCTTCCCAACGAAATGGCCGACGAAGACGTTGCTGCTTTGGTCGTAGACAATGGCTCTGGTATGTGTAAAGCTGGCTTTGCTGGAGATGATGCTCCGAGGGCTGTTTTTCCTTCGATCGTCGGCCGTCCTCGCCACCAAGGAGTGATGGTTGGTATGGGCCAGAAGGACTCGTACGTCGGCGATGAGGCGCAAAGCAAGAGAGGAATTTTAACACTGAAATATCCCATAGAACACGGAATCGTCACCAACTGGGACGATATGGAAAAGGTAAACAACGAAATGCGCTAACCAGGAAATTAATTTAAAATCTTCTCTTCAATCTCGATCCTAAAAATTACTTTGCATTGTTTTGCAGATCTGGCATCACACGTTCTATAACGAACTTCGAGTTGCTCCTGAAGAACACCCTGTTCTCCTGACAGAAGCTCCTCTGAACCCTAAAGCAAACAGAGAAAAGATGACCCAGGTATGTTACTAAAACTGTAAAGAAAAATTGTATCCCGCCCCCAATTGGACTTAAGAATGACACTCCACCCCCTTTTTTCGTTCATGATCCACGGGTGCATATTCCGTAATGAAACGAGCGCGATCGGACAAATAGCATATGAAAATAATATGATCAAGTCGTCCTCGCCCTGACTTATGAATTTATTTTCTATTGTTTCGTAAGTTTGGGTGAACCGATCATCAAAGGATTGTTTCCGTCATCGCTTTAATTGTTTCCGCAATACATGTTTACTTGTTCAGAACGCTAGATCATTTGACCGTGTTTGATTGTAAACTTAATTTATGTTGTCCTTTTTTACTTCAAATACCAGCTACTCTTCCTTTTTCATTTTGAGTTCGGTCAGTGATCAACGATGTAACTAAGGGGTGTGGGTCTACTTGGCATCCTGTGATCTTCTCTTTGTGGAGGGAAATTACTTATTACCCGACCAACCCAAATTCCAGTGAGAGGCTTCCGGACCCCCTCTAACAACCATGCTAAATCTGGGGATGAATAGATATTTTCATTCAACTTATATAAAGACTCTCTTCAAATTTTGGATTTCAGTGACAATTGATGTCAATCTTGATTTGTTGTTTTGCAGATCATGTTTGAGACTTTCAACACACCAGCTATGTATGTAGCTATCCAGGCTGTTTTGTCTTTGTATGCCTCTGGTCGTACCACTGGTATTGTTATGGACAGTGGTGATGGTGTGAGCCACACAGTACCAATTTATGAAGGATATGCACTTCCCCATGCTATCCTTCGTCTTGACTTAGCAGGCAGAGATCTGACTGACTACCTCATGAAGATCCTTACAGAGAGAGGGTACTCTTTCACAACCACTGCTGAGCGTGAAATTGTCCGTGACATCAAAGAAAAGCTGTGCTATGTTGCCTTGGACTTTGAACAGGAGATGCAGACTGCTGCCTCAAGCTCCAGCCTTGAGAAAAGCTATGAGCTCCCTGATGGACAGGTGATCACTATTGGAAACGAGCGATTCCGCTGCCCAGAAGCATTTTTCCAGCCCTCTTTCCTCGGCATGGAAAATGCTGGTATCCATGAGACAACCTACAACTCAATCATGAAGTGTGATGTTGACATCCGTAAAGATCTCTATGCCAACACTGTCCTCTCTGGTGGTTCAACTATGTACCCTGGTATTTCTGACCGAATGCAGAAAGAAATTGCTGCTCTTGCCCCACCAACCATGAAGATCAAGATCATTGCTCCTCCTGAGCGCAAGTACTCTGTTTGGATTGGAGGCTCCATCCTGGCTTCCTTATCAACCTTCCAACAGATGTGGATCTCCAAACAGGAATATGACGAATCTGGTCCATCTATTGTACACCGGAAGTGCTTCTAAATTTTTGTGAACCTACTGAACAGTTCTGTTTCAGTTGCTACACTGGATTGGTAACCTACTGCTACAGTGTGGAAAAAATCCTAAAATAATATCAACTTAAGACTGTATAAATTTTGGAAAGAGCTATAATATTACGTTGATTAAATATTAATAAATACACGGTATTTTAAATTGGACAGACTATGTATAAGTGGTAGAGTTTAGAAGGTGTATTAAAACTCTGTACAAAACTGTAGATGTGTGGGTTATTTAATATCTCATTAATTCTAAATTCTTTGCAGTCAAAAATTTAACAAAAGAAATGTGACTGAATAATTGGTTTCGAAGAAGCTTGCAAGCTTGTTTTTTATTTATTTGGTTATATATTGATTGATTTGACTGCGGTTGAAAAAAATTGAACTTCTTGTTGTTTCCAATCACTAAAAAACTACTAAGGCTACTGCCTCCTGGATCAATCTAATTTTTTTAAGAAAAAGACATTTTCATTCTTCCTTGTTTCACTGCCAAAGGTGGCAGTAAAATTTATGACATTATTTTCCAAAGCCAAATATTGCTACAGGAACTAAGAAATATGGAGAACCATTTTCTTCAATTTTATGTTCTAGCTCCCAAAACGACTTTGCAATTTTCCTGCAAACACAAGGAAAGTGTTCAATGAGTGAGGGTTGGGCCCCACCATGAACAAATAAATTCATTAAGCACACACCCATACTTGATTTGAATTAATCTTTTTAAATCCCAAGATAGGAGACTTTCACTTCCAGTATCTGTATTTCTACAGGGAACTGATCCAATAAAAAGATCCCCCAAAATCACTCTAGATGTTGAGAGTAAATTCTGAAAGTTCCCTGCTGAAAGTGAGGCACTTGACCCTTTTACTCCCATGAGTGACCAAGCCAGAATTTCTCCTTACAATATCAACACAATATCAACCAGATAAGTGAAAAGAATAAAGAAAAATATTAATTTGGAGATAATTAGTTGATCCAATTCTAGATTCTCTGAACTAACTTTTTGAGAATTGTATGGTTGATAGTGAGGAGAATGACAAATTTGATCAAGGAGTGAAATGGTTAAGGAAGGTGCAAATGGTTTCCCTCCTTTCTCTCCCCAGTCTCATAATGACCCAAATTCATTGACCTTCACCTACACACTGTTGCATAACAATTATCCAACTAGTCACATAGTTAGACTTTTCATTTACTGGATATTTTATTGTGACCGTGGTTGAAGAAAAATTTCGAGCACGTTTACCGTGAGTCCGACAATTTCATAGCGTTAATGTATGCGATTGCCCTTGTGCGAACTTCGGCTATGTAAAGGACTGTCACGAGTGCTGACTAACCCTACCCATGATCCTTTTCAGGAATGCTGACTGTCAGACAACTAAATTTTCAAAATGGCGACTACTACGGATATGAAAGGAAATGTTGTTAAAATGGAGATTGACTACAGTGAAACTGTAGATAAGAGAATACCAGAGTGCGAAGCATTAGCATCCGTAAGTAGCTACCTTTTCTAACCAATTTTTTGTCTCTATATGTCCTATGTAACAACTGCATTCTGCACGTGTTGGGCGAAAACTATTCACACTTAGACATATTATTTGGTTCACGAAAAGTCTCTTTATGTATCCTTTCATCAGGATGGAAAACTCAATGAAGCCCTAGAGATTCTTTTGGCCCTCGAGAAGCAAACTCGGACGGTATGTAAAATGAGTTTTCCTTTGAGTTAATGTCCGTTGTCAATCATATTAATATTCCTCAGCTTGGGGTTAAGTTATCAGCGCAATAATAGACGATCGAAATCTTCACAGGGTTCATTTTGTCATGAATTGGTAGCTGTATGTTTCCTTGATTAGTGGGAACCAAATTTCAGAGGCCAGGTTTTGTTGAAGATGTTTAAATGCAATTAAAGCAAGTGTAAAAATCTTATCTGTCATTAAAAAAATTTAATCTAAAGAGCCATCATTTGCATTGATTAAGGTTAGAATTCATGAGATAAATGTAACAGTAAAAATTTAATACCTACATAGCTGAAAAAGGGTTGAAATCAAGTTTCTATTGAAGGAAAGTTTTGAATTCTATCTACATTGTGTTGCTTGCTACATATGTTTTTAGTTTACAATACGCATTAGTTCCTCTTTGTCTATAGGCTGCAGACATGCATTCCACAAGTCGTGTTTTAGTCTGCATAGTCCAACTCTGTTTCAAGAACAAAGACTGGAATGCACTGAATGAACATATTGTGATCCTAACAAAAAGAAGGAGTCAGCTTAAACAGGTAGAGATTTTACAATACTTAATTTGTAGTCCAAAGTTTTATACAGTGTTCTAATTGACCAAGGGAGAGGGAGACATTTTGATCAAATGTTTAAGGGAATAGTAGATATTTGGTTGTGTATTTTATGGATGGGTGCAAGAACTTAAAATCAAACCTGTATGAAGTGGTCACCCATGGGGAATGGCTGGGTGACTGGTTAATACAGGTTGACTGCTTTATACAGGTTCCACAGAATAGCTGTGTTATAAAAAACAATAGAAAACATCCTTTTATGCCCTAGTTAACCACTTAAGGAACAAAAATTCGCTCAAAAATACTACTTAAAACATGGATTAAATTTTGAGAGATCATTCCTAGTTTTATTTAAGTGGTTCTGCAATAAGTGACCATTCAATACAGGTCAAGGACAATATAAACAGGCCATAGAGACTCACTCATCAGTAACCATGACAGCTTAACCTTTTAACTCCCAGTTCAAATTTGTAATTCTCCTTACTGTCAACCATACATTTCTTATAATGTTAGTTCAGAGAATCTAGTATTGGATCAATTAATTATCCCCAAGTTGATCTTTTTCTTTATTCTTATCACTTGTCTGCTTGATATTGTATTGATATTGTAGAAGAAATTCTGTCTTGGTCACTCATGGGAGTTAAAGCATTAATAGAGGTGAAAATTACAGTGATTAAGGGGAAACAAATTTGGGGACTTTGACAACCAGCTGCAGAATACAGGGTAACTACTCAATATGGTACAGCTTAACAAATTCAGCTGTAGCTTGTTTCTCACTGTATTAGATATGTTTACAGATTTTTGTGTCATTCTTTTCAGGCTGTAACCAAAATGATCCAGGAAGCTTTTACCTATGTGGAACAAACTCCTGATCTAGAAACTAAATTGAAATTAATAGACACTCTCAGAACAGTCACTGCAGGCAAGGTAAAATTAGGTTACGCTGCTAGCATTGTAAATTTTTAACCCTTTAGTAACTTTTATTATCTGGGTAAACAGTGTAAAAGAATGTATAAATTCTCCCCATTTCCATGTAGTGCTTTCAAAGTAAGTCTGGTTCACTGTAGGAATTCATTTTGAAATAATTTTTTTCCTATTCCTAATAAAATGTGCCACAAGAACCTGATCATCTATGATGTATTAACCTTTCCTGGTCAAAGTTCAGGGCTCTCTGATGTATTGTTACTTTAACCCTTTAACCCCCAAGATCTGATTGTTAATTGTCCTTTTTAGCTGGTACACATTCTTCTTGTTAAATTGGTTTGGTGTTAGATCTAGATGACAACTTCTAACTGATAAGTTTGAGTATTCTCATCACCTGTTCGCCAGATAATGTAGACAGACAAGAGGGGTAATACAAGGCGGCTTAGCATCCATTGAGGAGAGACAGCAATACTGACAATTTGCCTTTTGTTAGGAAAAACTAGGACGAAGTTTGGCAATCATGAGCCAATAAGCTTATAAAATTTTTGACAGTAATTTTGATAGCAACATTTACTTCATTTTAGATATATGTTGAGATTGAGAGGGCCCGTCTGACAAGGATGCTTGCTAAGATAAAGGAAGACCAGGGAGATATTGCAGGTAATTTTTGTTTTACCCCATTCCCTTTCAAACCTTATGTAAGAAAGGATATCAATTGCCATGTGCACCTGTGCTTTTGTTTTTCTCTTTTCTATACTTTTTCAAATGCACCTGTATGTATTGACTTTAATGCATTGGTTTAAACTTCATTTATTTAGGTATCTTTTTTTAGAGTTTAACTGGTGTAGATGAATTAATAAAAAAGTCTGCTTATTTAAGTCTTACTTCAAATAAAGAGTTACCATTGCCATAAATAACTGTCTCATTTTATTTCCTTTTAATTTATAGAGGCAGCCAACATCCTACAAGAGCTGCAGGTATGATAATGGAAACAAAATTATACATTTTGAAAACCAATGATGAAGCAGAGGGGTACAAGGGCATACTCCTCCAGAAAAATTTGAAATTTTAAACTCTCTGAGATATAATTTCTAGCACCATGGGACATATTTGAGTAAGCTTTGTTATCCAGACATTGATGCTAGAATAATCAGTTCAAAAATACTTATATCTCTCTTTGAGCACCAAAATGGTTTGACAGCTGGTGGGTTTCTGCCGCCTCATCGCTTCTAATGACAACCCTGTACTTTTAATTTTCAGACCAAATTGCACTCTAGTGATTTCAATCACCATTGTGTGTAGGCTGTTAGACATTTTAGACAATAAATCAAAATCAAGTAGATATAGATAAAATGTTTTTAAATAAGTTAAACCAGTTTTATTGAATGGTCTATTATTTGGAAAATTGAATAAATAAACACTTGTGAATAATAAAAATTTCCAGAATTCCAATTGTGAATTTTGATGGATTGGCAAACAAGGGTCTTTTCTGAATGAAGACTGTTCAGGAATCTTGTCAGACTAACACTTTGATGGAAAGATCTTTGTTTAAGTAATTTTGATATATGGTTTAAACTTGTAGGTGGAGACATATGGGTCTATGGAAAAGAGGGAAAAAGTGGAATTCATCTTGGAGCAAATGAGATTATGTTTGGCTAAGAAGGATTACATTAGAACACAGATCATCAGTAAGAAGATCAGCCCAAAGTTTTTTGAAAATAATCAGGAGCAGGATCTAAAGCTGAAGTTCTACCAGCTAATGATTGAGGTGGCACGACATGAGGGAAGCTACCTAGATATCTGTAAATACTACAGAGCTATGTTTGATACACAGTCTGTCTTAGAGGACAAAGAGAAAAAGCATGAGGTGAGTAGGGAAAAATTTAAGAGGGTGACTTCTTTATCACTGTAATGAAATAAAAACAAAACGTAGCTTTAAGGCCACAGTGATAAGAAGGACAAACACCAAGACATGTCTGTAGTTAATTTAAGGAGTACTAACGTTTTTGAAAACACAGATTGTGAAACAGCAACCACCACAATGTGAAAAAAGTGAATTTTTTTTTTGTTTGTTTTACAGGTGTTAAGAAATGTGGTGCTGTTCCTTGTTCTTTCACCATATGATAATGAACAATCAGATCTCATTCACCGTGTTGGGGAAGAGAAAACTCTGGAGGAAATATCACTTTACAGGTATATCATGCTAAATGAGATCTGACAGGGTCAAACTATCTGAATATTAGTTGTTAAATCCACATTTCTAATCTATAAACACATGCACATGGTTTTCCTGCTCTAACTTTAAATTTACACCTTCAGGGGCACGAAAACCCAGGGTATCAGCAGATCTCCCCAAGCACAATGAGCTCTTTCCTTTTAATACCATGAAATATCTTAAGTCATAAGTCAGTTATTCATGTTATTTTCTCAATCATGTGGTCATTTGAATAACATTGACTTGGTGTTTTTGAGCAGACAATCATTTGGTAGAAAAAATGTGACATATTTGCTAATTTGGTTTTATCCACTGAGTTTGTAATATGTAAATTGGCCACCACAAAGAGTTTCCAAAGTTGACTTTTCAAGCATTGACCCCTTGTCAGAGCGATTAGAGGAATGTGGGTTGTGTGTAGTTTATGTAAAGAAGGATGGAGCTGTGCTATTGGTGGGAACATGATAACATAAAAACTCAATAATAAATTAGGTGAATGAAAAGCATTTGTTGATGCCATGGGGATTAAGAGTGCTAATTTAAAAGATAAATTTTTGTTCTAGAGTTTTGTAGCTTTCCAAACTGTGTAGATGTAGGGAGAGGCTGCAAATGTAGGTAAAGGCTAATTCACTGAGGCATGAAATGTCAAAAAGGAGCATATAAGGGACTTCTCCCAAATGATCAGAACCCTGATCTTTCAGTCTGTCAGTTTATTGTCAGGGTCAGTTGCAATTGTAACTAGTCCTTTTGACATTCATCAAGATATTGCCAATCTTCGATGTGGGAAGTGAGGGAGGGAGGGGAGGGGAGGGGAGGGGACTTGACTTTGCTACATTAAGTTAATTGTATTTTTACAACCAATCTACAATTTTGTTTGTGTATGATCTATCTATTAGAGATCTCCTGAAATGCTTCACCACAGCTGAACTTATGCGTTGGTCTTACATAAAAGAGGTTTATGAAGCTGAACTAAGAACAGGTCCATCTGCAACTGGTGTGTTTGAGGAACACACAGATGAAGGCAAAAAGCGCTGGGAAGACTTACAAAAACGGGTTGTTGAACATGTGAGTTTGATTGTTTTTTTCATTTGAAGGTATTTCTTTTGTTATGAATTTCACTTGATGCTTATGTTAATTCTCCCCTCTAGCTGCTTCACAGTTCCCTGTAAATTAGTTATGAGAATTTGGTGTAAGATCAAGATAACAACTTTTGCCTGATAGGTTTCAATATTCTCATATCCTGTTTGCTGGATAATGTGTGAATATTAAAGGGAGAAGTTAAATGTAAAGACTTCAGGTAATTTTAAGCTTATAAATGTGAGTGTTTGATCGTTTTTTTTTTTTAACAGAATATCCGGGTCATGGCCAAGTACTACACCAGAATAACACTAAGAAGAATGAGCCAGTTGTTGGACTTAACTGTTGATGTAAGTTTACGTTGTAGATGTTATAAAATGAATGCAAAATTGTTCTAAAAAGTGGCATAAAATGTTGCGCTTTGTCATCAATTGAAGCAAACAGGCCCAATCCTCTCATAGCTGAATCCAATCTTGTCCTATGCCTGCATAACGCGATCTTTTTTCCAGACATCCTCTCATTAACTTCAGTGAAACAGCAACTGATATAGGTCTCCGAAGCCTGTGTAATGTTTGAGGAAATAATTATGACAAAATTAATCATGATGAGTTAAATCAATTCTGAATGAGTACTTCTAATCTCAAAATTATGTACTATTACATCAAGGCTGTAGACTTCAATATCCATCTATGGAATTTTTTGTTTTTCTTTGAAGTGTTAAGAATTGGAACGGAAGTGAAAAGAACGATTAAGTGTCACTATTACCCCAGCTAACCCAATTTTTTTATCCTGTTTCAGGAGACTGAACTGTTCCTCTCTGAGTTAGTGGTGTCCAAAACAGTTTTTGCCAGAATTGACCGCCCTGCAGGCATCGTTACGTTCAGTGCACACAAGGAATCTAATGAGATTCTTAATGAATGGTCTCACAACCTCAACACTCTGATGCAGCTTCTCAATCGCACAACTCATCTCATTACCAAGGAAGAAATGGTGCACAAACTTGTACAAATGTAACTTATTCTGTGTTTGACTGAGACCATGTCTGTTACTATTTCAATTTTATACAGTCCAATAGTTGTCTTGTGCTAGTCAATAAAAAGTGTAAAACATAGATGATATTCTCTGTACTTTCCCATTCGTTGGATATTTAACTACTAACACTTTTTAAACGACTCATTCACGACGTTAACAGGAAGCACTAAATAGAACGAGACCCAATCGTTACCGAAAGTGCGAAATGTCAATCGCCACTCATATTTTGGTATTTCTTTTTCTGTTCTCTCCTGAGGAAAGAAGAGATGATGCCTTGGTTGTGATGTTAATTATTATCGAGATTTCTCCCGCCCTAATTTTTCCTGAGCGACATCAGCTTTATTATGCTGAGGATTTGATCTCCGATAGTCTATCACTGGGTTCTCATGTCGCCTTCCGGGAGAGTCACCCGGGAAAGCCCTAAGCAAGCTTTTTTCCTAGGTTGAAGAAACGTATGGAAGAAAAATAGCTTGTAAAAGCAGTTAACAATGGTACTTACGGTATCGGAATTTGGGAACAAAGCGGAAAAAATCCTTATCATTAGTTACAGCAATCAAGTCCATCATTTCATAATTACTTCTGCGTATGTGGGATGTTTATGCCAAGTTTCTAATGACATAATCAAAAGCGGTTTTGTACCATTTAAATTCTCTCGGACTATAGCCATGATATCAGGCATAGAAATGATCGGAAAGGATGAAAATTATTTTGTTGTGAAAGTTATTCAGAGTATATTTTGGTCCGTTTGCTCGGTTGTTTGTTTTTGTGCGTTGCGGACGTTTTTTGTTCTGCAAATATGGAGCGCCCTGTGATATTTACACCAAATCACTGTTTTGAAACGGTACAGCTGACCGAGGACAACGAGCTACGTCAACATGGCGATTTCACCGAGCAAAACTAGGCAAGAAAGACGTTACAGAGGTTTCACTACGCAAACCAACCGTAAGATCAAGGTAAGCAGAGTCCCTTCTCATCAGACCCGTAGGTTTTGTTACTACATGCCTTACACTAGAATTTTTTCAGTGACAGGATCACACATTACTACTCAATTTGAAGTATTAAAAATTTAATCAAAGTTAGGACCCCCCAATAAAAAAATTCCTGGATGTCCTCTTGTTTTCCTTTCTAAAAGAAATGTCTTTTAACAAGTATTTACATTTCATCTCAATTGCTTGGAGCCTCTTCTTTAAACCTGACATGACTCAAGCTGTGTTTATTTAAAACTTGGCTTTGTGAATTGTCAGTGTGAACAACAACACTAATTTTACATTCTCACCCAATTTCATTGTTTTGCATGCTGATTATGTACGTATAAATGCTAATTTAGTTCAATTTTTTGCTTTCAACAGTGTTTAATTAGTAACATTCACCACGCTTTTTTTTGCATGCAGTACTACAAATACTTCAAACACAATCATTGATATGCCAAAAAGATTGCTGTTTTCTGTATCCAAATTGAAGGCAGCTTGTAGGTTAATGAATTCTGTTTAATTTTTGTCTCCTGGTACAATTCTCTTCACTATTAAAAAAATTCAAAACCTCTTTTAATAACAAGCCTTACAAATTATTCACTGTCAACCACAAATAATTAAATAAAGGGGTAAGTTTCTAAAGAAACTGTGGTGCTGCGTCGGTGGGAGAGTATAGCAGGTAATTTAGTGTTAACAACTGGGTTGAAAACGTAAATTAGCCACCGTAAAGGGTAAAAAAGCTTTTTTACCCTTTACGGTGGCTAATTTACGTTTTCAACCCAGTTGTTAACACTAAATTACCTGCACAAATAATTAAAGTTGTGTAAACAGAGCGTTTTGAAAACATAAGCTTTGGATTATTGAGTCCACCTCAAGATGTAAAATTAATGAAAGGCATTGAATTAGACCGAGTTATTTATATTCCCGTCTAAAATAAAATTCTCTAGCGGTGTCAGACATTCTCTTTATCAACCGCTGGATTTCTCGGTGCGAAAATCCTTCCATCATGATAAATTCAACTTGTGCCATTTTGCTGGACTTTTACCCACAAATGTTCGAATTGGAAAACCTTCGCTCGACCTACATCGTTAATTGCGTTTTTAATGTGTTTATATCATAAACATAATGATGAACATCGCGACAATCTATGCGTTACGTAAAGTTTCTTCGTTACCGCAAACTTTGAAAACATTGCTTCTCAGTCTGGCTGTTTCTGATGTTGGTGTTGGCTTATTAGGGCAGCCGCTGTACATTCTCACGCTGATCAAGTGGTTACAACAAAACCCTCCTAGCTGCTACATTTACAGGCTTTTGGACTTGACAAGTATTTTGTTTGCTGAAGCTTCCTTCCTAGGAGTGGTAGTTGTAAGTGTAGACAGGTTTTTAGCTCTTCATCTTCATCTGAGATACTAGGAACTTGTGACTGACAGGCGTGTTGTTGTGGCGGTGATATCAGTTTGGATTCTAAGCGCGTTCTTCTCTTTTCTGGCGTTTTCGGGATTTATTTTTATCCAAAGCGTAATATCTTTCGTCGTTGGGTTTATTGGTCTCTTTATAACAACAATAATTTATCTCCAGATTTATGTAATTGTGCGACGGCACAACAATCAGATTCAAGCCCTCCAAGTGCAACAGCAGACTGAAGAGGTAATGAACTTTGCTAGCGTCATAAAGTCTACAGTTTGTGTATTCTGTGTGCATGTCGTCTTTTTTGTGCTGTTATCTACCTCCCTTTTTACTTTCCGTGGCCTCCATCGTCATTGTTCCGGGTATTGCTTTTAAGAAATGTTTTCTTTACTCGTTGACCCTCACATTTCTGAATTCATCTCTGAATCCGGTTGTTTTTTGTTGGAAGATGGGACACATTCGACACGCTATCATGGACTTACTACAGAACATAGCTCGAAATAGAAACCAGGCGTCGTAGTTATAAAGTCTAATCGAGCCGTTTTTGATCGAGTGTTCTAAAACCAAAACGAAAGTTATCAACTGCATTACAGCCAATCAGAGCAAAGGAAATATCACGTGCAGCCAATGGGTGTGTGCTGACATACGCTGGTACAGTGCATTTGATTTTCTCAAGGCAGTGTGGTTTCGTCAAGCCTGTTATTTTCGATCGATTTTCATCGTTATATAAAGGACTCAGTAGTTTCCACCCCGTAAAACTAATTCACATCAAACTTTGTTCAGTCGTATGATCCCATAGGAATAAAATCAACGCTCTGCAAACGCAAGTAGAACAGTCTGATGAATTGGCCTATTTTGCAAGTGTCGTGGAATCTGCTGCAGGTACATTTTACCTGTATCTCATATTCTAAATCTATATTTACGTCATTGTGCCGTTAATTGTCTTCACATCAATTGGCGAGAGCATCGCCTTTAAGAGATATGGGTCGAGAAAATTGATTCTTGTATTCCTCAATTTTTCTTTGGTTCGTGAGACTTGTTGAGGAAAAGGGGACGCTTAGTATACGCTCTCATGGACGTCATGGACATATTGCGGAACAAAAAATACCAGTAAGTTGAATGATAGGGATAGGCAAGCTCTATTGATGTCAAAATTTCAACGTCTTTTGTAAAGCATTCTTGGTCACACTCAGTCTTAGGCGGTTACACGGAGGGAAACCTAGTGTCCTTTACAGCTGATCATTGGGATGTCACGTAACGCCCAAACCAAAGTAATGACAAAGGCCTATAAGAACAAAGGTAAATGTCATAAGGAACCAATGACAACTCGAATGATAAACGAGCAAACTGCCTGAAGCGCGGGAAAACGCGGGTGACCAAGCCGCGGTTGGTTACAGTTTCGCATCTGATTGGTTGAAGGGGTGGTTCGAGTTTCTCAGTCAACCAATTAGAGAGCGAAGTGAAGAGAGACCAATGCAATACGGAATTACTTTCCACTCTCAGTTTATAATTGCTCCAATTGCAGGTTGACGTCAAATTAATTAGTACTTTGAGCTATTCGTGCGCTTATCCTTCCGTCGGTCTCTGATGGGCACTCATGTTAACTTCAGGCTGATTAGACTTAAAAGTAAATATTTGCAGTGATATACGACTCCTGGAACCTTCTCCGGACATTTCTAAAACCACAGTGTGGTACCGGTCGGATATTGAACGCAAATTTTCTTTTTTTCGGTATATTTCCAGTTTTCAGCCCTATTGTTGTCTATTTAAGGACGCTTGAGCCAGTCAAATATGAAAAACACACGGCTCCCGGAATAACCGATGACGCTGCTAAAGAAGTCGTTATGACTTTCATTTCCTTTGTTTTGTAATAAAAAGTTAGGGGACTCCGGGATACCGCGACAGATACCAATATTGAACTGTTCAATTTGTTTGCTAAAAGGATCTAAACTTTTCATTTCGGTCTTATCAAAATTTTGCGATTGCGACCGTTTACGCGCCCTTTGTCTGTTTGTTTGTTTGTTTTTTTGCTCATTTAGATGCGTGGAGTTCAAAACCTTCGCACTTATTTAACAGAAGAATGCCAGCGTTTTATTTATCTAATGTTTTATGCGTGATTGCCTAAGGAATCGTGCTAATATTATCGTAGTAATGGGTTCTCAAGTGCCACTTACTCAAAACAGGAAACACGGTACAAGAAATTGACGCTCTCTTCTTAAATAGTATTTTAATTTACCTGTGCTTTGAATTTTGGAGTGTTCTTTCAGCTTCATTGCGATTTACTTTTGAGGTGCTCTGGTGTGTCATTTTTATCTACGAAGCAAAACTTGTGAGAACTCTTTACTTAAAATTCTCGCTGTTTATTTGAATTTATATTGCGACTCGACATTTTAGTTGGTTAATACTGCTGTTGTGGTAAGTTTGTTTTGTATTTTTCCTTCATTAAGTTTATAAATATAAATCTAATTGTTCCTTTCGGTCCACACACAAAAGCTTTGGAGCTTATCGCAAAGTCTTATCAAAATCTCAGTTAGTCTTCTAGGCTTTTCTTCGCTCCGGACATGACCTGCAAGTATTTTTTCCAACCATCTGATAAGAATTTTCCTCCTCCCATTAGTTGTATTTAACGGCCATCAAAACGAAATGATTTTGAGGAAAATTTATGATTTGGATCACAGGCGTATTATCGTTTTTACGGTACGAAGATTTATCGAAAAAGCACTCGCATTTAAATATAGTAACCTTTTTATTAGCGGTTTTGAAGGTATTGAACCTTAAATAGGTCTAGCCTATGAATAGTAATATACGTAACCAAATGAGCTATTTTCATGCGGAAAAAAATTAACACTTTGGAAACTGAATTCACCGCATTTCATTTTGTCAAAGAGCAATTACCTCTTTTAATTTGTCATTTTTTATTTGCTCTGGAACCTTATAGGACTCTGTCTTACTATCAGTCGGTTATTTGTCAAGAGGCTTATGTCCACATTATGAATGACTCTCAGAATTCGACGTGCGAAGTTTTAATGCATCATTACGCCGTCACTACTAAAGTTGACCATCTCCGTTATACATACATCTCAAACTGTATTTTAAACAGTTTATTGTCGCATCCCGCGATCATGCTCAACATTGTAACTATCCACGCGATTCGAAAAACGTCTTCGTTGCCAAAGACTCTGAAAACATTGCTTTTAAGTCTAGCTGTTTCCGACATTGGAGTTGGTTGTATTGTTCAGCCGTTTTACATTTCACTCTTGATCAAGAACCTGCTGGACAAGATCCCTAGCTGCAACACGTACAACATGTTTGGGATCACGTTGGGTTTGTTTTCTATTGCTTCGTTCCTGGGTGTTGTGGCTGTAAGTGTAGACAGGTTCTTAGCTGTTCATCTTCATCTCAGATACCAGGAACTTGTGACTCACAAGCGTGTTATTGCTGTGGTGATCTTAATCTGGCTGCTAAGTGTATTTCTTACATCATTGATCCTCTGGGTTCCGTTTCTAGTACACTCGATATTTTTAATCATTTTTGGATTGTCGTTTTTCCTTGTCACAACAACAGTCTACGTTAAAATTTATCAGACTGTTAGACACCACAAGAAACAGATCCAGTCCTTGCAACGTGTACAACAGGTGGAACACATTGGTGAGATGTCAAATATGGTCAGCGTCCTAAAGTCTGCAGTCGGCATATTCTACATGTATCTCGTATTTGTGGCTTGTTATTTACCTTACTTGGTGTGTTTGGTGGTAGCTGACACAACTGTGACAAGTAACTCTATCAAGAGCCTCTACCTTTTCTCGTATACCATTTTATTTCTGAATTCATCTCTGAACCCCGTAATTTACTGCTGGAAGCTGAGACACATTCGACATACTATCATGGACATTATGCGGAACATGCCCTGGAACAGAAAGCACGTATACTCAACTTGGCATCGATCGGTCACCACGGAGAGTGTTCAGGATGAGGTTCAATATGTAGTATGTTCGAGGATTGCTTGAATGAAGTAAAGAAAATGACAGACACTAAGGGATGCGAGATTTCTCAATGCGACAATGCAAAGAGTTTCGAACCTACTTTTCGTAGCGAGACTTACATTTCAACTTTTTCTAGATTTCATTAGGTAAAAATCTTAAGATGCCTCGACGAAACCTGTCTAATTTAAATTAGCTATTAAGAAGAGTAACTTGGTAAGAAACATGTCGGAATTATGGTGATCTTCCGTGCTTTTTGTTTGTAAAGCCGTTTACGGACGATTAGTTTTAAGAAGCTGGGAAAGTGATGGGAAGTTGAAAAAAGAAGACGCTCTAAGTTTCGAACGGAGAATAATGGTCTTGGCTGAGTGATTTGCCCTCAATACTTCGCTTTCATTGCCAATTGTTCATTTATTAGAAAATCGTTCAATTTCGAGTGTAATCGTCGGATTAATCCGCTGCCTCAAGGGCTTGTTTACAAATTACTGTAGACGTTTTCAAGGTGAAATAACAAAGAGGTCGAAGTGAGCCACACGAGCCTGTAAAATACTAAGGAGGTCTGTTGAACAGTGTCGTCAATCAACTCGAATTGAAAATTTGTTTTTGGCAAATATTTAGGACGACAGGCAAATATTTTGACTGATATTGTGGGTAAAACTTCAAGGTTTTCCTGCTGTTATGAGAAGTGGGTGTTTAAACCTTTAGTTTCTTTTAATTTTCTCTTTTCAAGTATCACAACTTAAATTTAACAGTTTTTCTTTCAACTTGTTAGAGTTAAAACTTGTATTGACCCTTATGAATATTTTATACAACGCTTTATTGAGTGTTATCGAGGAATGGTTAACTTTTGAGTAATTAAAAAAATTGTGTGGCTTTCCGTAATGAAGCTGTGAATGTGTTTTCATGAAAGAGTCAGATATCTATCGGCAAATTGTCTCTCAGGTTTGTTATGTAAACAGTCTCTCTGAAATCGCAGCCGGCAGGTCACTGCTTGTTAAATTCAAGAAGAAAAAGGAAGCCCTTCTAAATATGAAACAAAATTTTGATTTTTTCTTTTCCAGCCGTATTATTACTTAAGAGAAGAAACTGGGTCCTGCACCGGAACATATGGCAATCATAACAACTCACCTCTGAGTTTTCAAGTGGGTATAGTGACGAAGCAACGCGGGTTTTCATTTCAGCTAAACAGCTGAGACTTCTCATATATATTAAATAACTTGTTTTTTTTTTCTTTTATAAAGCAATATAACACACTTTTTATCGGTTTACAGCCGCATTAACTCACGCCGCTACGCGGGATGTCCTGAAAAACAGCGAGAAACGTTGGTGAATTACAAGCCGAGCACTAAGAACTGCTTTATCTCTGCCAATTAAAGATCGCGGACCGTATTAAATCCAATACAAATGCTTGATCGGTGTGAGAGCTTCCTGTGACGTAGCGCGATGGGCTGAGACCGGGCGAGAAATTAAGCATCCGAGAAACGCTTCTCTGCTCTCTAGCACGTGTTACCTACTTACTCGCTGAGTGCCTCACACATAGACTAAAAAACAGCATGCACTTTCTATTTTTCCGAATTCTACACTGAAATAAGTTGTATTCAGCTTTTGATTCGATGTGATCTAGCGCAGCCAATCGAGTGCAACCATGTACTGTTGGTTTGGTAGCTCAGTAACAGTATTTATTAAATCGCTGGAACAACCCGGGGACAAAATAAAATAAAGCGAATCCTGAGTTTTGATCGACTACCTGAGTGGGTAAGATGGGCCCATTTTTCCGCTCAGAATTGCATGGAGCGAACTTAAAAAGCTCATAAAAAAGCGGCAGAAGAGAGTTTCTTCGCGGTCCGCGATCTTTAATTGGCATATTTCTTAGAGGCCAGTTGTGCGAAGTCAGATCAAATTGGCTTGGATTTAATGTCTTGAAGGTGGATTTTTGGATCTCTAGTCAGACATTTTTAAAACATTGAGGAGGTCCAAACGTTTGCGGCGAATGTCAAATGACAAAATTGAGATTCTCTCTGTCTTCTTACAGCCGTTTGTCAGTTCAGTATAGAGAAAATATCTGCATCAGCTGTAAACAAGATTTTTTTCCGTAGACGTCAATCTTTAACTCATTTTTGTCTTGCTCCCATATTGTTTGTAGACAATCACCTCTCAAACTCTGAGAAGGAAATTGACGAGAGTGCAAAGACTAACTAACCTGTGCTGTTGCGTCCATCTTGGTTACCCTATTCCTCATCAGACCACATCAATCTTGAGCATACGAATCAAAGCTTGCTCACACACTTTGTAACGAGATCCTTCTGGTATGATGCTCACTAATCTATCATATTTATAGCAGGGCAATGATTTAACTCGCTATTTCACGGCTGATATTGTCCCGAAGTTTAATTGAATGTTAGGATTGTATTAGGTTTTAAATTAATTACAGCAACTGGTGGGTTATTTACTGCAAGGTGTTAAGAGTAATTTTTCAACTGAGAGTCGTTCTGTGATTGGTTCAGAAAATTTGCGCCTTGCTCTAAACCAATCAGACGTTCTGAGATTGATTTAGATGTCGCACCAGCTCTTGCACTAGATGCAAGACTACATCGCGACTCTTCCATTCGCTTTTTCCTGCACCTTTCTTTTGACAAACCGAAATGATAAATTTGGATTTGGTTTTTAAGAGAATCGGGGAAATGGCCATGTGCTGAGATGTCTTGTTAACAGCACATTTATAACTTTTTAGAAAATAAGGAATTCGTAACAGCCGACTTGTGCCAGAGAGTGTGAACGATCACTTATTGCGCAGACACCAACATGTGTGCGCGGGTCACGGATAGGATGGACAAGCATATGATCTTCTTCTCTTGATTACCATTATCTGAAAGGAGAAGCAGGTTTGATTTTTTTTTAGTTTTTTCTTTGTATTTTTCTTCCACACTTATCAATAGGATCAATCTCAGTATTTGAGCAACTGCGTACTTACCCCTCCCCTAACCCAACATTGACCCGTGATGACTTGTTATCAATTGACTGTGGTTGGGGTAGGGGAGGGGTAGGTGTGCAGTTGCTCCAGGGGGCGGGAAGATGAGAGACCCTGGGAACGAGGTTGATACTGACATTGACCTTTGATTTGCTTTGTTATGCCATCTGTCAAATTTCAAAATTTTATCTAATCCATCGCAGGAGCAATTTTCGTTTGTATTCTCGAATTCGATGCTTTGAATCTCAACTGAAAGGTTGCAAAAAGTTAAAACATTCATTGAAGGTTAACTTCCCGTTTAGATCGAAGACGTGACTTAACTTGACAAACAATCTGACATTAGATTTTCGTGCGAACTACGTTTAAGCGATGTTTCACTGTGCCTTTCTTATAATAAAAATAGGTACCCAATGGGTACTTGTGTCTGCTGCAGTGGAATGGAATCTGCTGTAGGCGCCTATTTTTTTGAATACTGTTAAACTGGCTAGAAACATCTCCCGAAAGGCAGTGTTATGGAATGCTCAAGGCATCACAAAGATGGGGAACTGAAGTGGTGAATGTCCAATGCTCCAGTTGGAGGTAAGGGATCATCAATATCAATCATCAATATCATGATTGTGATTACATCTTCATCACTGTTTAAATAACTTTTATTGTGTTATGGTACTGCAAAGAATCTAACATTAAAGTGAACGTTTCTTTTATTTTGTAGCAGAATATTTAAATCAAAGAATTGAAATAGAACAGCCTATAGTTTTTAACAAAATTGAATAGTATCTGAAGTCTTTGTAACACAAGACTACTGTAATGCAAACGCAGTAGCAGTTTTGCAAAGCAAGAAAAAGTCTCTGGTTGTAATAATTCCTAGGAAATCATTATGTTTTTCATTTAATGGTAATATGCAATCAATTTGGAACAAAACATAGGTAAAACAAAGTTAGTATATTTACATTGTTGTGTTCAAGTAACTAATAGGTGAATATACTTTTAAAAGTATTTTGAAGTGTTTGTCTTTTAATTAAAATGAAATGTATCAGAAATGTAAAGCAACAGAAATATTATCCCAAAAAAAGCAGCGCGTGTACTTGTAAATAATGTTTATCAGTCAGAGAAACAATCATTTCACTTAAAACCAGTGTCTACAAAATGTTTGTTGCAAACTGTAACAAAACAGGTATTATTAACGTTTGGTATTCAGTAGTAATTTCCACTGATGTGTGACAGGAAATTGTTCATTTTATTCAGATTTGCACTGACTCCACTATTTTTGTTTTGTTGTTGAATGTTATGCTGGTTATAGTTGGTAACTCTAGAAGAAAGGCAGTTATGGTTTCTTCAGTGATCGGAAGAGTGCTCTTTCCTTGTGACGCTAGCATATCATGCAGGATGTTGTTGAACAGGGTCACTGTGATCTTCGATTCTTTAATTTGTAACAGTAGTTGTACATAACATTGTTGAATGGTGGACTTCATATTCTGCTTGAGCCCACAAGTTGAACAGGTTAGTATGGGAGACGTCTCTATTACCAGCTTTTTGTTACAGTTGCAGCAGGCTTGATATGCAGTGACACTTCGCACTCCAAGTATTTCTGCTGCTGCTGTTGTATTGGTAAAGTTCTGAGGTAGCTCAGCAGGATTAATGAGAGGTTGTGAAAATGGCTCAACTTCTGTAATTGTGCACCCTGTTTTGGGGGTACTCAAATATACGCCATTTGAGTTGTACTCCTTCTTTACTTGGAGATTTTGAAAGTTATAAGTTTTTCCTTCTTCTAATCCACAGAATTGTTCCCAAAGTGTCACCTTAATGGCTCCATGTGGGTCCACAAGATAGGCAAACAACTTTTTTTTTCACCATACTCTGTCTTCACTTTTTTTGTTGATGACTTCTGAATAAGTTTGGCTTTGATGGTGATACTTTGATTTGTGTTTGCAGCTGAAATTGATTGGATATTGTTGGCACTTGGCAACTCAATTCTTGAAAAAGGCATTTCTTTTGTAGGCTCTAACAGTACATTGTTATTCATCAGCACTGTGGTTGCATCTCCTGCTCTTTCAATTCTAAAATTTCGAAGTTTTATTGGAGATTTCTTTTTGCTCATTTGATCAAAGTGTTCCTGTTTACTTCCGGAGAAGCAGACTCCTCTTACTAAGCCATCCGTGGTTTGTATGAACATGTCAAAGTAAGATTTCTTTCTACTTTTTTAGTTGGAGACACATTGTGTAAGAAACCAACAATCTCTTCTTTTTGTTCTTCCATTGCCTGCAAGTGAAAAAGAACCTTTTGAGTTTGTTTCATAGCAATATAATGTATTTCAAAATTTCTAATAACATAGGGAGCACTGCATCAAAAGACGACGACGACTACAACAAATTTAACTATAACAACAAAATGCCAAAAAAAACTTACCTAGGTGAATTATAATTTTTTATTTGTTTACTTATTCATTATAAATCAATCAACAACAGCAGCCTCTACAGACAGGAAGGAATAACACTAAATGAAGGTTGGGGAGTGCAGTATACTGCAAACTGTTTATTAGATGATACTAATGTACTGAAAATCAAAGTGAACAATTACAAGAAATAGAAAAGAGCAGTGGTTCCAATAAGCAAGATGGAAATGACAGTAATGATTGTGATGATCAGTGGACTGAAGATGAAGCAGAAACAGCTGCTGGTGTTACTGACACCATGTTGACCAACACACATTATTTTGAAGACAGTCAGCCTCAACGTATTTTAAATGTTGCACCAGGAGAGGGAAACCAACCCTTAAGTATATTCAGAGATCAATATTCTGAAGAGTTAGCATATCCTGGTATATTCCTTGGTCAAAGTCGACCAGAAAATAAAGATAGACTAGCTAATGTTCATTATAGCGACATTTGTAAATCTGAACTAAGACGATCAGATAGGAGAGCTGCTATGTGTGTTGAAAATATATTCTTCAAAACAAAAAAGCTTCAAATGAAAATTCTCTTAGGAAAATCGCAAGTTGCACTTAGGAAGTGCAAAGGAAATAGCAAATCTTCAAATGCTGGACAGTTGAAATGTGAAGGAGCAATTGAGCGCTTGATTCATCTTGATGAAGGATTCCAATTTTTGAAAGCATTGATACCTTACAACTGTATGCAAAGATCTGTTCATAGCGATGCTTAGATAGTAATTATCATGAAAAATACTAGTTCTAGGTTTCTCTCCTCTGTATAAAATCGCCACAGCTTTCGCACATGTTTGTCTAGTGATAGATGTTTTCACGTGTGTAGTGAAATACATGTATCTTCTGCCAAATACATTTCGTAAACAGGGCATATTATATCCCGCATTGGGCTTTGTAATCCCCAAATGAGGCTTAATAATTCCCTTAACGGGCTTTTCATTCCCCAAATGGGACTCAATTGTTCCCCGAAGGGACTTTGCATTCCCCAAATGGGGCTCATGAAGCTTATTTTGCGTCCTGAGCACTTGCAAAATGGCCGGGCGGTGATCGTGTTGGCGCCGAGAAAGCTTCAGTCGATTTACAAATTCAAAGCATCTTTCAAAACCTTTCACTCGGCCGGAATGACACCCAGTGCGAATGCTGTGGCAAAATGAGAAAACACCTTTTAAGAAATCCATTACAAATATGAAAAGCGAAAAGATCACTCACCTTGCAAGCAATAATACACCCTGGCTTGACGAACGAAATCAGGACGATACGATACAACCCAAACGTTTTTCGAAAGCACATGGTTTGACGGATTTGACTTTGTCCTTTTCTCAGATTTGATTGGTTCCGAGTCTTCCCGGAAATCGGTAGTTTGCCACGACCTCTTTCCTTTGTCCTTTTCTCGTATCCGATTGGATAGATTATTCCCCTGAGGAACGAAGTTTGCACCCGAAAGTATTACAGGCCGAAAGTATTACAGGCCGAAAGTATTACCCCTCTGTGCATACTTCATGTATCGTGTCACCAAATGGAATCCGCAGTGAAACGTCAAGAGTAAATCCGAGATCTTGTCGTATATGAAGTAGCTGGTCGCGCGTTTTACAGCTTATCTAAGTGTCTGCATGCATTATAAATGCAGCAGACACAAAAACCGACTTAATGGAGTGTTATGTACTTAATGACGGAGTGTGATGACCGGATGGGAAAATATTTGCCTCTTCGTACGTCATGCGCGAGTGTCAAATATTTTACCGTCACGGCCCGAGAGAAAATATTGTACCTTTTTGGCCCGACTTAATAACCTCGCTAAAAGCTATTTAACAATACGGTCCCTTTTCTTTTTTCTTTTTTTCTCTATTCTTTTCTTTCTTTGCGCATTCCCAGGGTTGTTTGGTGCTTGCGCCACTGCGTACAGGGATTTTTTTTTACTGTCAGGTATTCTATAAAGGCGCGCACATGTCATGTGATAATACGGATTGTTACAAGCTGTTTGGGCATCGTGCAGCTTTTTTTTTAATTAACACAAGGAAGTATTAGCATGAACAATTAAAAGAACGGTCTACGAGGCAGTGATAGAAAGCCCACTTCCACTGCCATCGGATGTAAGATATTGGCTTGTTCAAGACAAGTGTTTCCATTATGAACATTAATGTGGGTGCGCGTTTACAAGTATCTCGTTTACTTCACCAGTGGTACTCAAGTACCTGATTTTTACAGGCACGGCGTTTACGTGTACCTTTTCAATTACTGCCCTTGATTAATGCGACACCGAATTTGACAAATCAATCAAACTCATCGGTAAACGGAACTGATTTAAAAGGGTTAGTTTTAATTCTCTTTGTATAGTGTTCTGATTTCGTTAATCGTTCAGTACAAACGTGTGGTTGGCAAGTGAAGGCTTCACATGTGAAAGAGTTCTATTCTCTTTAAGCTCAAGAGAGAAGTTTCTTTAAATCGTGATTTTTCATGTTTATTTAAAATTGAATGTCTTGAGTTAAGATACGAGAGTTACTATCATGAGCGAATTGTCTTGTGAAGAGTTGTTGCAGTATATTCCATCTATCTCCGACTTCAAAGATCTTCGTTCAAGTTACATCGTTAATTGTGTTTTAAACAATTTTCTTACCCATACCGCCATTGTGTCAAACATTGTTACAATGTTAGCGATAAGGAAATCCTCGTCATTGCCGAATACTTCAAAAACTTTGCTTTTGAGTCTCGCTGCTTCCGATATTGGCGTTGGTTTTTTTGTTCAGCCATTTTACACCTCACTTTTAGTCAACTGGTTGCAACAGAACAATCCAAACTGTTACGCCTATGGGATTTTTAGGAATATTGGTTTCCTTTTTTCTACGTCTTCCTTCCTAAGTGTGGTGGCTGTGAGTGTAGACAGATTCTTAGCTGTTCATCTTCATCTCAGATACCAAGAGTTTGTGACCCACAAGCGTGTTGTTGTTGTGGTGATAATAATATGGCTGCTAAGTGCAACTGTGCCTTTACTGACATTATGGAACCTGCACGATGTGCAAAGGTTAATTCTTTCCCTGTTCGGTATTACTGGTATTCTTTTGACAACATTGATTTACATGAGGATTTATTTTGTGGTACGACGCCACAAGATTCATATTCAGTCTTTGCGAGTTCTACAGTCAGGTGAGATGGCAAATTTTTCTGGTCTCATCAACTCGGCTGTCGGTGTTTTCTACATATACGTCCTTCTTATAATCTGTTGTTTACCCTTCTTAATCTGCCTGGGAACGTTGGGGCCTAACAATTCCAGTACCTCCATGAAAAAACTTTTTGTCTTTTCGTTGACTTTGTTGTATCTAAATTCATCTCTGAATCCTGTAATTTACTGCTGGAAGATGAGGCACATTCGACGTGCTATCATGGACCTATTACGAAACATGTCTTGGGCTAAAAATCGTGCATCTCAATGACCTCAGCAGATGTCATTCAGTCCTTGTGGATGTTTGTAAGTAAAGCTTCCGATATCGATTATTTCATGTATGAAGCGCCACATCGCGATATTTTAAAAACCTGGTTGGGACCATCCAGATTATCTTCGAAATGATGGAAAACAGAAAATATTAATTCACTAAGAAGAAGACTAAAATGGAAAGATTGACGTGAGAAGGAACAGTGATGGTCAGAGATGAAGAAGATTGACACACATTACAAATGCCAAACTTGAATAATTTATGTTCAGGTTTAAAGATCACTAATCGTGCCCTAGAGCCCTTAACGAAAAACAAAAGACATTCACAGTGAAACTTAACAACTCTATCAACTCGTGCATTATGTTTGGACTTCGAAAAAAAAAAAATTCAACCCTAAAGCTACAAAAGAGATTTTAATCTGAATTTTTTGAGACATATTTAGATAAATACAAGCGGCACGTTCTGTTTACATATGGCAACAAAAATCTGTCTTTTTCCTTTTCATCGATCAGATATCGTCGATGGTTTGATTCTTTGCCAGAAAAGACGGTGAATAGTCATGTTTAACGTAGCGTTTAGCTTCTCAACAGTTTAGAAATGCTTGGCTTTGCGTTTTTTGACCCTGTTGCCGCCTAAGTTTTACACAGCAAAATGCCATACTAACGAAAAATATGAAAACATAAATGCCAAATGCAATATGTAATATCATTTTACACCTGCAACAACGCAAAATTGAATTTCTCACAAATTGCATGCGAAGTGTATTCGTACATCAAAATCTGCATCATTGTGTCTCATTTGCGTTTACGCAACGAAGATTACGTGATAATACGTGCGTATTGACTGAGTGGGAAGCGCTGGATGAGGAAATGTTTGGCCCGTTCATGTCCGTTCATCAGAACATAGAGCCAAATATTTTCCCGTTCGACCCGACCCAACACTGTTACTAAGCATCTTATCAGATGACCGCCTCTCCTTTTCTTTCTTCTTGCAGGTCGCACGCCCCAGCGAGCGGCTTTCCAAGGCTCTATTCACGCCAATACCTGCGTCTCTCATTTATTTTCGAAAAAAAAAAAACGCGCACAGGACAGTAGGGGTCGTATGATAATGGATGTTCAGATAGCGTTGTAAAGAGGACGCACTTCTGTTGAACAAATTGAGTTTGCTAAGCTTTTAAACCCTAACATCAGTATGCATATTCTTCATACTGTACTCTATACATTTCCTAAGGTGCTGATAAGGAGAATTTATTCGACAATCAACTGACCTTCTGTTCATTCCTTAATTCTCGTTACATTTATGTGTGATTCACGGGTAGTGTTGCAGGGAGAAGTTAGATGCTAATCACTCGTAGTGGGTCAAAGGGTAAAAATATTTCATAAGGAAACGATGAGTATAAACCGATGAAGACTATGATTCGTTCTTACTCACCTGTTTTTTTGTTGTTTTCGTTAGATTTTTCCTCGTTTAACTTACAGTAGCTCGCCTCCCACTTTGAGACAAATTATCATAGAAAATTTCCAAGAGGTGTATTGTAGCGAAACTCTTTTTTTTTCTATCAACGGGGGTCAGATTGAATTTTTTTTTGTCGTACTCTGTAACAAAATGGACCTGTAACAAAAGGAGCGTGAAGCTTACAACTTGCGACAGCTGTGACCCTTTCTCGGCTTACCAAGACATAGGAAAGGTCCAAAAGGCGACAGATCGCGACAGATTTGAAAGTTTAAGTATGGTCAGCTACGGATTTGGGCGAAGTTCTATTTCATTACGTAATGTTTTGCGATAAAGAAAGTAGGGATATTTCGCGCAAGATTTCTCGCGTTTCCTTCGGTAGAATTTCCTAAGATTTGCTGGACCATTAAACTTATTTGTGCCCTTCCTAGTGCCTGTTGATAAAAAAAAAATTAACGAGACCAAAGTTGAGGAAGAAAACACAAAAATTGCAAATAGCGAGGAAACTGCCCTTGTAACCCCTATTTTTTTTAGATTTTGAATGATTGGCGGGACAAATTTCACAAATTGTGGAAAATTTTGAGAGATTTCACAGAAGCAAATTGAAGAAATCAGAGGCAAAGCCATATTATCACTGGCGAGCGCCTCCCTTTGTAGAGCCTTAGCTCAAGAACGGAAATCATTTTGTTAATATTTACTACTACAGCAAACGATAGTCCGAACCTCGCTCATCGCCTTTGGTGGCTTTTAGTAACCTAGAGAAGCGAAAACATAAGAATTTTCTATAAAAACATTACGCTAGCACGCGCGCCAAAATTAAGCAAAAACCCTATGGAGCCTCCTTAACGAGAATCCTACGGCGCTGTCAATCTTTTGAAATGTTGATCGAGCGTTTACAAAATAGGAAGAAGATGCTTAACGACTCGGGCTTTAGGTTAAATTATTTATGCCATTTAATTTGTAAAAGCATACAGATAAAGATGTACCCGCTCATACAGGAAGTTTGTCAAAGGGCCTTTGTATCTGACAGTAAGCGGAACATTATCATTTCTTTGTTGCCTTCCGGATGTCTTATATCCCATAATTCCTCGAATGTCTTTGCCATTAATTACAAGCACCTGAATCACAGAAAAGTTCTGACTTCGTGAATTGCTCATTTCAGATCCCAGAACAGCGCATGTAACAAGTAATTTGTAGTTATTTTTTTACGCTGGTATTCTGGCGAATGATTCACTGAAACAGACGGAGTAGATATTTTCGCCTTAGGGGAAGCAACTTGTTTGTTCAGTTCTTCTAAGTAATAGACGTGAACCAATTGTTTTGCGACGAGTTGTTTCATCATTATCCCTCGTCCTCAGACTTAAAAGGTTTGCATTTAACGTTTATTAGTAATTTTGTCTGCAACAGTTTTCTAACTTACCTCACTATCATGATGAATTTATTGATGATCTACGGGATACGAAAATGTTCGTCGCTACCACAGACTTGGAAAACGTTTCTTTTGAGTCTTGCTGTTTCTGATGTTAGTGTTGGTTTGGTTGTTCAGCCATTTTACTCAGTACTTCTGGTCAACTGGTTGCAACAGAACGATTCTGGCTGTAATACCATTATGATTTTTCAGATTTTGGGTAATTTTTTGCCACAACTTCGTTCCTGGGTGTTGTGGTTCTTAGCTGTTCATCTTCATCTCAGATACAAGGAACTTGTGACTCACAGGCGTGTTGTTGTTGTGGTGATATCGGTATTGGTTTTAAGCGGAATTTTTTCTTTGCTACCACTGTGGAATCTGTACGAAGCTCAGAGACTAATTCGTATAACTGGTGGACTTATTGGTTTTCTCCTAACAGTAGTTATATACACCAAGATTTTTTCGTCGCACAACGCCACAAGAATCAGATTCAGGCTCTACAGGTAGAACGAGGCGAAAAAACGTGCTCAACGCTAAATTTTGATCGCCTTTTCAATTCTTTATCCGGTAAATTTTACGTGTATCTTGTGTTTTTGGTCTGTTATTTGCCACTTTTCATCTGCTTGGCTGCCACCAAGATAAACGGCCCGAATATCTCTTTGAAGGAACTTTTACTTTTTTCAATAAGAATCTTGAACCTTAATTCATCTCTGAAACCTGTTATTTACTGCTGGAGGACGAGACACATTCGACGCGCTATCATGGACATACTGCAGAACTTGGCCTGGAACAGAAACCACGCTTCACAGTAATCTTAGGTCCAGTCTTTTTCTCTTGTTGATATTCTATGTGCAAGCTATTTCTTTTCACAGCTTGTATGAAGTTAAACGAGAGAAAATGTGAAAACTGAGCGAAGCGAGACTTAAAGAACAATTTTTTATGTGAAACTGAGTTTTGAATGTGACATTGAGTGAATTGTAGAACAAAAATAAGGAACACTTTATGAAAGATAAGCGAGCGTTAAATTGGAAATTAAGAATTATTTTCCTGATCGGGAGTTCAATATTGATTTAAACTAAAAAACGAGCATGAAAAAGAATCGAAAATACAAGGAGGAGGAATTTCCAGGAAATTCCTGTACGAGACTAACTTTTACCAGATCAGATTACTTTCTTCTTCATCAAGCGGATTATCATAATTGAAATATATCTTACCGGAAGATAATTGAAATATCTCACCGCAAGTTAAATTTACCGTTGAAACTGAACATCTACTTCCATGTAAAATTCGCTAGAAGAATCTGCCATAATCATTAACAGCTTAATACAAACATTTGTGGAGTTAAATGGACTAATTTCTCCCAGAAAGAAAAGATAAAAATCACTCTTACGTACAAAGTAAGACCGCGAAAGAAATAGGAAATTATCAACTGGCTTACAATGTTTTTTTTGACGGGATGGCTTATCCTAGTATACCATTTCTAATCCTTTCCCCAACACCAAGGTGAGGAAGCTCTTATCAATGCTTCTAGATAAGATACGGTTTAATTTTATCATTAACAACATTGAACAAATATGCGATGTATCTTATGATGAAAGAATTCGTAAAGTGACACGATTTGTTTGTTTTTGTAGATAAACTCCCGTATCAAAAAACTGCATGGACGAGTAGGTTTATTTTCTTAGAGCGTTAGAAACAGTTGTAAAAAATTAGCACACTGCCATTTCACTCTGCAACAGACTCGAGATGTTATTGGCAAGGTTCACGTTTGTTTGAATGCAAGAGATCGAAAAGGATGTTCGCGCACATCAGGGACACAATGTACTCAGATACTTGGGGTTAAGAAAGTAAATTAGCGGCTCAAATTGAATTTTTACACTGAAGACAGTGACGTATTTTATTTCTCAGGGGTAGAAAAAAGATTTTGTTTGCAGGAATTAACGAATTAACAAATTAACACATGAAGCCTTCGTGGCACCTTAATTTTTTAGCACCTGAATCTAACCAGCTTCGCCTTTTATTTGTAATATCATCGTCTCATATTTGAGTTGCTTTTCATCAAATCTCCATCCAGTGGGAACAAAAATTAAAAATCTCAAACTGTTTACTTTATTCCAAACCTTAGCTAATGAAATAACGA